TATTATTATTTTTAGTTACCATTAAAATTGACCCATGTACCTAACTATCACCGCGTTTAAATTACTGATAGACTTATTAAATCCATGTTCGCACGCCCGCCGTTCTTCTTCTTTTAAATGCTATGGCTCCATCGAAATAATCGATGAATTTGCCAATACCAAGTAAGAATGACTATGTACGGAAGTTTTGTAAAAATGGGACTTCTACCCCTTCTTTATAATATTACAAGGTTACAACCCTATCTGCGTAATATTTATCGAAAGTCAAAGTCAAATAATCGTTTAAGTTTTTTTTTATATTTCTAGCAAAATTTTTACATTTGAAAACGTCATTTTTGAAGCTACTACTCGTTCACTACACTGGCTGACCTCCCTGAGAACAACGAGCAAGAAATTCTAGGGATTGCTCTTTACAAATAAACTTAAATGCTATAGAATACATTTTGAAACATATGTGTGAAATCTAGACTTATGTTGTCTTTCCATACATCTTTATCTAACACGTAGTTTACAATTTTGTAATGATTTTTCAATTAAAATACGTTAAGGGCGCGTTTATACGACACGAATTTCATCGCGCTCACCCCGCGCGGTCGAAGAGCGGAGTCTGCGGTAGCCGCCGCCCAGCATCCGCGTGCACGTGTTCAGAGACCGAACTGTCATGGCAAAACATGCTCTATTTTTTTAGCTGGAAGGCATTAGCTTGTCTTTTGTCTACGCGGTCGTCGAGCGGAGTCCGTTCTTCGACCACGCGGCGGCCGCCACGGACTCCGCTCTTCGACCGCGCGGCGGCCGCCGAGGACTCCACTCTTCGGCCGCGCGAAAACTTTCTCGTGTGTCTGGGCGCTAAGTTTTAAACTGGATGGTAATCTTAATACATGCTCCGGAATCTTATTGTAAAATCGTGTACAGTGCCCCATTAAATAATCTTTTACCTTAGTTTGACAGAATCGCGGTACCGTGAGTTTGCACTTAGTTCTAAGGTTAATATTATGGATATCTTCTTTCTTAACGAAATTGTATTTTTTTACGGGCATACAAAATATTTGAGTAAATGTACTGAGATGCCACAGTCATGATAGCAGTCTCCATAAAGTTTTCTCTGAGAGAAATCTGAGAACCTAAACGGTACACAGAACGAATCGCTCGTTTTTGCAACACAAATATGGTTTGTGTATCTGCCGCTTTACCCTGCATGAGAATCCCGTAGGACATTATACTATGGAAGTAACTAGTCTAGCAGTAGCAACATTGGTAAGTTCACGTATTCTACGGACTGCGTATGCAGCAGAGCTTAATCTGCTGGCCAAGGAAGATATATGTGGAAACTATTGGGTTTACTATCCAAGGTCAATCCCAAGACAGCTTTGGGGCGCATTTATTTCGACACGAATTTCGTGTAATTAGGCGCTTATGAACAAGGTCTATTTTGAAAAAGAAAAAAATCACATTTGGTTTAGTCTGTCGAAGTGCATGCGAGTGAATGTATATAATACACCTTCAGTATTTGTTTGCCTAATGTTTGGCCGGACACAGTGAAACTATACTTAATTTGTACGTCAGCTTCTATATAACCATTCACAAATAAATGAATTATTATTATTATTCATTTGTAAACGAGATTTGATGTTTTGAACTTTCAAATCGTGTTTTCTTAATTCCACAATTTTGAGTTACGACTTTATTCGGTTTTCACGTGCCATAAGAAAAACTGCTGTTGCAGGTTGTACGATCAGTATTCGTTTCAAGTGATTCCTGTGTTGGGACAACTGATAGCGGGACAGTGGAAACCTTACCAGTATTTAGTGGAGAGCATCAGACAATTCCCAAATCAGGTACAAGATTATAAATATTAATATTTTTAATATGATAAATATTTTTAATGCCTTGATTTTGTTAGGATGAATATGGATTATAAACCAATTCTGTTTTCTTTCCAGGAGAAATTCAAGACGATGATTGAAGATGCAGGATTCAGACAAGTAACTTATGAAAATCTGACGTTCGGTGTGTGTGCGATACATTCAGGGTTTAAGATTTGACCAGTCCTTCTTATATATACTTTGAGCTAGTTTTGATTTTGATTTTTGATGATGATTTTGTTTAGAGTGAGTTAGTATAGATACTTAGTGGTGCAATTGATAGTAGAATAAATAAAACAATTGATATATTCAAGGAATTTATTAAGTCCATCAAACTGTGTCGGTCTTTGGAATGCAGATCTGTGCCTAAATTACATTTTCGTTTCATTAATACTACGATATCGTCAAAAGTTTTTTATACAATTTGTGATTTAGTTCGAGTACCAACCTATCCTTCAGCTACCTTGAAATTAATAACGGTCACATACACCTTTTACTCTCACCGACACACTCAATCAAGTTCTAATACATAATTGTGAATATCGTGCGGGCATCCATCGCCAGTCACTCGCCTCGCGCCTGGCAAACCGTGCCTACGCCTAACTTATGTATTGTTTACAGGATGAAGCTCAGTAAGCATGCTTTATATGACTGTTAGGTCTAAACACACTAATGAGCAAAGCTGAAACTGTTTCCGTCGTACATCCGTGGATTCCTAAGTCTAGGCAAACGCAGACATCGAGAAGCAAATAAAGTGTGAGTTAAGGATATCCAAACAAACATTAAACTCTGTACCGAGCGTGCACTCAACATAAGTTATTTGCAAAAATTTTAAAATCATACCCAAAGATCCGTGATCCTGGCATCCAGCGCGGAAGTCCAGTCCGGTGGTCCAGAGTCCGAACCGTAAAGATCCCTGAGAAAGTGTAACGAGCACGCGAGCACGGCAGACCCGCAAATCCTCCGGTCGCCGTGCAGATCCTTCGGTACGATCCAAATATCCGAGATTCCTGTGCGATGAGTGCGCGCGTCCTATCCGTTCCTCGCGATCCGATCCTAATATACGATCCGTTATCCTCCGCGCGATCCTACTGCATCCTGACTCACACCTCCAGCCAAGCACATCCAACGAGCCCAATCCACAGTGGATGAAACAAAAGAAAATACTTTTAGTTATACAGGTAGGGGCATGGTCATTTACTTGCTACTTGTACAGTGACCGTTCGTTCCGTCGGCGAATTGCCATTCGTTTTGAAAAACCTTTCAACAGGCCTCCATTCAAAGCGACAAACGTCGCCTCCACGGTTAGCACTCTTATAGTTAGGCACAATAGACAAATGTTACGTACGGTGTGTCGCTTTGAATGGCGTGCTGTCGCCGTCAGAGCGAAGCGCGCGTACAGTAAACGTCCTTAAGGCTAAGTTTGTTTATGTAAGCACTAAGAGGGCCGCGCCCGCCGCCGCCGCGCCGCCGCCGCCGCGCCGCTGTCGATAAGACATCATCTTCAGTAACCCACATCCAAACATTGCAAAACATCCACCATCAAAATCCACGGGAAAAGGTATTCAGAATGTAGCTATAATGCGAATATCAATAAGTACACTAGCCGATAAAAATACCTGGACAATATCCTCAGTGGCGTCTCCATTCGATCCTTCTCGTTTTCATTAAAAATTAAAGTGAATTAGAATGAACGGACTATCGCATATCGGTTAAAAATCGACATTTAAATTCTGGCTTTCCAAAAGGGACCAGATGTTTTCCAACAGTACCGACGCACGTAAGAGCGGTCGCAGTTACGGAAGCATACTGACCTGCCCCGGGTTAGTAGTTGTGCGAGCGCGAGCGGGAGCGACTGCGGCTGTAGCTGCGGCGCACCGGCGAGTAGGTGGGCGAGCCGCGCCGCCGCGGGGAGTACGACCGCGACCTGGCGACGTCACGACTGGTTAGTCGGTCCTCGCGGCACGACCGCATCGGACGCACACCGAGCCACTCACCTGTCACGATCGCCGCTGTACCGGTCTGCGCCGCCGCCGCCGTAGTCTTCCTTCACGCGGATGTACGACACTTCGCCCTGAACAACGAGAGACGGATCAGTGTTTACTCGCAGCACGGAGCGGCCGGTAGCAGAACGAGAGTCGAGACTCGCCTCGTGGCTCCGGAACCTGGAGTCGTCGAGCTTCTTGACGGCGTACTTCATGTCCTCGTGGCGCAGGAACTCGACGACGCCGGTGCCGTCCTTGAAGGTGTCGGCGAAGCAGACGTCGCCCGCCTCGCGCATGTGGTCCTTGAGGTCCTGCCACGAGCCGGAGGGCGGCAGGCCCGTGACCAGCACGCGGTACTCGGAGCGGCGCGCGGGCGGCCCGCGCGTGTTGTTGCGCGCGCCGAAGCGCTCCCCGCCGCCGCGCCCCCCGCGCGCGCCCCCGCCGCCGCCGCCGCGCGGGAACTCCACGCGCAGCCGGTACCCGTCGTAGTCGTACCCGTCGCGGGCGCGGACCGCGTCGTCGGCGTCTCTGCACGAATTAAATCTGCGGTCAATCTCCTCTCTCCACTGCCGTCTTGTTCCCGTGACTGACGCGGTGTTACTGCTAGGTCCGCTTTAATGTGACACGAAGAAAAAACTTTCGAGCCTGTTTCTCCCCTGATAATAATAGTACGTTTGGAAATATCAGAGATAAAGAGATGTGGATGTGGTGAGGCCAAAAAATTATACTTTTCAAGTGTCGTTCTTTGCAAGGCCAAAAAGCTAGGTACGACCGGATAGTATCAATAGTCTGATACGAGCCCGTCACATATCTTATCATAAATCGGCTATACTTTGTACTTGTAAAATTAGAGTTCTTAGGTTTTCGCGATTGTTACACATAGGAAATGAAACTATTTTTCCGGATTTAAATCGCGTATATTTGTTTTTTCAAACATTTTAATTTCATGTGATAAATCTGTAATAGATTTCTCATAGATGGCGCTACGACTAAAAAGTCGTTGAAAGACCAAGTATAAAGATACGACGCAAGCACATAGAAAAATTCGTGAGGTCCGTTAGTTCGTTCCGTGGCTTAGTTGGTATAGCGTCTGGCACGGTATGCAAGAAGACGTCGGTTCGAATCCGACCGGATCGAAGGAATTTTTTCTGAGTGTTCGATCTTTGTATTAATAATTATAACAAACTAGTGGAGTAATTTCACAAAAAATAATTGAATATCAATTCAATAAAAATTTAATTAATTTAATTTCAAACAAATTTTTTTTTGTTTGAAAAAACAAATATACGCGATTTAAATCCGGAAAAATAGTTTCATTTCCTATATGTAAAATTAGAGTTATTACAAAGTATTGAGTATTGAGAGTTGGGCAAGTGGTAAAAAATGCTAACACTAAAAGTATTCCCTTTCAGTTCATCTATTGTTAAGTCATAATTATCTTGTATGAAGTCATTTAATTTAAAAAAAGTACCATTATAAAAAGCGAAATGTACAACCTTAGTTTAAATGTATAAAAAACGAAATTGTAGATTTTTGTAATTTAGAAAATATAAAAGTTTTCCCAACAAGCAATACTTTTGTCGGAATTTATAACGTCTGATTTGTATAATTATTAATATGGATATTCGTAAAATAATTTGTGCCGCCAAGAGTACATCAAACTTGACACTGGTCCATTTATGGACCATTTTTATTGTAAGCGCATAGAGTTTAATTTAATTCCTAAATGTACAATATATTTTGTAGGAAAACAATGCATAAAGAAAAAACTGTACAATGCTAATCTTAAGCAGTACTTTGTGGCACTGTAGTAGATTGTCAGCCAGCAACAAAATAAAATTTTGTACATTATTTTTGTTTTTACCTCTTAAAAGATACAAGTACTGTTTATATTAGCAAAATACTTCAAAATCATTTAACTCCAATTGAACCTCTACTGATTTCACAATATAACCTTTAGTTAGTGTTAACTTGGTGCACACACAGAACCTAAACCACATCATGCATAGCTAGTGTCTTGGTTAGAGTTATTTCAAAATATGTTATATAATAGGTTTGAAGTTTAAGTTGAATCTTTAATGATCAAACATATCATAAACCTTGGGAGTAAATAGTGATAACTATGATCTCAAAGGGTATAAATGTATTGTATTAATCATTGTTTTTAAAATGTAAATGTAATTTATATGCAAATAAATAACTATCTAAACAAACCTTTTCAGTGCACATACAAAAAAAAAACACATTGTATGTCTTTTTTAAAGTTTAAATTTTGAAAAACTTTTGTTACGGACAGATACATACCAATAATGTTATTAAATAAGTTAGTCTAGAATCTTAACAAATAGACTTTCTTCATGACCAGAAATCTTGTATATTTGCATCAGATATTTGTTTCAGATATTTTAAAATATAGATACATAACTGGCATTGTTTGAAGGGTTTGATTTTTCTTTTGTCCAAAAAATAAGTACATAAATCTGCACTGGTCTGGTAATAAATGTTAATATAAACATTAATGTTGTTAACTTAATTAACTGATTAAATACAGCAAAATAGTAACGCTATTAGGAGTTTTGTTGAAGCTTTTAATGGTTTTTATATCTCAGTAGCTATTAACCCCCAAAATTCGAAATTTCATAGGGGTCCTCTCTCCTTCTTCCCCTATTTCGATGTCAGCTATTCTAAAGTCCTATTGTTAAAAAAAACTCAAATGAAATTACCTTAAAAACATTCAACTTGTTTGATGAGGTCAATAATTACAATATTTATTCAATAAAAGGTATATATTCCATTCAATAGATTCCTTAAACAAGATAATGATTATTCACTTTAACTATGTAATAAGAATCACATTTTATGTAGACACAATTAGTAATTCATATGGAACTGAAAGGCATGTTTTTAACAGAAATATAAAAATATTTATACATGCACAATGAAGAATATGCATGTATTAATGCTGCATACTTACAAAGCTGTTTGTTAAACAAGTTGTCATTAAGTGGCTTATCCTTGCCAAATCCTGTTGTTCTGTTGTTTTATCTTTAATAACAATTATAATATGTATCCTTCAATAATTGGTGAAAGTCATATACAAAAGAAAACTGAATATGACTTCAACAAAGATATTATCTTCATAGATTATTTCTCTAAGACATAACGTTCATTGACCATTTGTCATCCATTATCAAACAAAACACACTACAGCTTAAATAAAATGATTATACCTACTGCTTACACAAAACTTATCATGTTTGAAACTCAGTCCTGAATCCAATCGGTATTTATGGAGTTCTTATGTTTTTGCTATTGTTACGTAGGATATGAAACCATATTTCTGGATTTAAATAGTGCATTTGTTTTTTTCAATACAAACCAACGTTTGCGTTAATATTAAACAAAACTGGTAGAGGACTTTACCACCTCAGTTAATCGTGACCATCGGACCTGTAAAAGGCCGAAACTTTGGCCGAATATTATTATATTTATAGAAACTCATCAAGAGTTTATAAACTAAAAGAAAACCAAGACATTGTTAATTAAGATGATAATGGTTGTCAATACATAAGTGGAAAACAAGCAAAGTGTGTTTGTGTGGGTGTATTCAAGTTATATAGGTATAACTAAATCGGAAAATATGCTTTCCAATACAGCGTAAATTAGTCACCCCAATAACAGTCACGCACTGAGGAGCATTCCACACACCCTAAATACACGCTAAGTTACATTACATATGATATTTTGAAGCAAGCGCGTACTGGAATAATTATATCACTACTATAATGTATTACCTACCTTCTACATTAAAATATATGGGACACATTTTATCTTTTCAATAACTTGTAACAGCGCAACAGGACGTGATAAGCCATATAACCACACGTTAATTATTAAATAGGTCGTCGTAAATGCGTCTCATTTATAAACATGCATAGTCATTTAAAAGCGGTAGAACGCCTGTGTCTAGCATTAGCGGAAAAGAATGTCCATGACATCAAAAGGATTTAGGAAATAACTAAACCAGGTTAAAAATATTGTCATACCTTGGATCCTCAAATTCGACAAAGGCAAACGGAGGTCCTTTCCTGTTTTTCAAATCGACGAAAGTAACTTTGCCGAATTTGTAAAAGAGGTCTTGAATGTCCTTTGTCCTTATGTCTGGTGGCAAGTTTCCGACGTATATTCTGCACTCATTCCTGTTGCTGCTGCTTCCGCCCGACATTATGTTCAACTTAATACACTATAACTACTACCTTCCCTACAAACGTTTTACTAAATTAATTGACCGCGTCTGTGTAGCAGCGTACGCGAAGATCATTCACAAAATAAAGATGGCGTATTACCCGACAGACAAGACAACTTGACTGAAGCAACTAGCGGAAATGGAAATGGTGATGTTTTTTGTACTGACGTCAAAATACTATTATCTTTGTTTGTCATTCGGAAAAAGACAAGGCTAGCAGATTACCTTCTCCTTGCCTTAGTGTTGCCAGTATATTAATTTCGTCCAGTAAAAGGTCGATTGATAACCTCGATCGGTGTGTTTTTATTTTCGTTTAACACATTTTTTTACACTAATGGCTGCTAATTATTTGCTAGACGGATATGTCGGGCGGAGAACGGGAATGGAGAGCTTAAGGATTAACTGCACACTTTAGGGCCGTGCCCGGGACGTGGACGGGCCGTGCTCTCTCGTTCACATTTGTCCGCGTCCCAGCCGGCGCCGGGACGGGCTAAGAGTTCATACAAACTAACAAGGCCCGTCCACGTCCCGGGCACGGCCCTGATATGTGTGGCCCTTTAGAGGATGGAAAAATAAAGGATGGACAGCCATCATGTGTTCAAATAATAGGTCGATCGTAACTAGTACAGGTACTAGTACCTGTTAGCAGAGAACAAATAAGCAACGAGAATGGACACTCCATCCCTCCCTAGCTTTAATACCCGCACCACACCCCGCACTTCACGGTCACGTTGACGAACGGCAACAAGGCTGTCGGCGAGTAGCTTTTTCGCGCTAAGACGGTTTTCATTATTTGAATATAGTTTTCCTTTATTCATTACGAAACTTGTACCTTAATATATAACATCATTTTACGTTACTATTTATGATAGTTGTGAATTGTGCTGTGTACGGCTGTTTATCATCAACGAAACGGGATAACGAGAGGAGTTTCGTTTTCCGAAATATGAAAAATAAACAAATAAAATAACTTGTCTGAAACTCATTCAGTTATTGTTTTCTTCATTTATTTAGTGCAGAGTAATACGTAATACAGATTTATTATATCAATATAATGAGGCGCCATAACTTCGTGAGCTAGTACACAAGGATTCTCGAATTATCAATTTGCATTGCCGACAAATATTAAGTAGTGAATATACCTAATTATTAACAAGGTAATGATAAACTAGACACGCAATTTCAAATATCTTGGTTACCTTATATAAAAGTACGTTCTGTCCAAAATATAATACTTTAAGTGCTTATAATATATATTTTTTTTAATCTTCAATATTACTCTAGTTAGTGAATAAATGAAAAACATTATATCGATATAAATACCTAATGAACATGTGTAATTTTAAGATTCTATTAAAAGAAATTTCCGTTAGAATTTTCGCTATGTTGCCGCTCCGACCACGTAACGTAATAAGTACGAGATAGTGATGGGTAACCCCCACTTCACGCACTCATTTTCACGTGTGCAGATAGCGCCTCGCAATATGTAGTAGTAGTAAGGAACTAACTTTCGACTGTTGTATGTAGTGTCCGGGGTGTGCTGTTAAATAAAAGTGTCAAAACGTATGATACACTCCCGAACATAAGTCGAGCCACCTTGAATTTTCAGAATTATAATATGACCTTTTCTACAATATTTCGACTCATCCGAAGAACAGAGTCCGATGTGATTATATAGCGAAAAGAGAATAAGTACGTTACAGAATAATTTCATTATTCAAACTTAAGGCCTACGTAAAGGTGTTTTGAGAATTTATACATATATCTTGTTTCGTTTCGGAAATTATAAAATTGAACAATAGTCGATCTGACATTCACAGCGAAGAAGAACGAACGAAATGTACTATGTCCTGAGAATAAGTAGCCTTGCACAAAGACCTTTGTTCTACTGATGTGTCGATTTGATTGGTCATAAACTACTATTTTGTAATAATTGGTATATTAAACGTCTCAGCTAAACGTAGCTTCCATAAGTCCTTGTCTCAAATTAAAATTTCAAAGAATTTATAAAACCGGGGAAGACTGTTTCTTTAATGATATCAAATATTTTTGTGTTCTGCCCTTTAATTGATTGTTGTAAATTATTCTTTTTGACTCATAATAATTTTATATACTTGTGTACAGGGGGCCTACCACAACCTCTTAAAACAATATTACTTTAACCTTACATTGACTTTTCGTACCATGACGCTTAAGAATAAAAATGAAAGATGGCTCTGTTTATGTGTCTGGAAGTAGGTATATAATTATGAATGTGTCGGGTGCAACGCAACCTGTGTCCTCTAAAAGTCTTTCAATCATATTTTCATACATGTCCAGTGTTTACACATTTGTCGCGTCCAAAATTAATTAATAACAACAATAAAAACAATACGTTTTTAAAAATGTTGTCCAAACATCAAAACATTATGACTTATTACTAATTAATAAATAGATTCTAGTTTACTCTTTCTGTCACAAGTACACTATGTCCATGTCCAACTGTAGTAAAAATATCTGTTTGTAAACATATTACTCAGAATGAATATTTCATAAATATTCCTTATATCTAAAAACGTTGTATAAATATACAAAACATTAAATTATACTCATTCCCTCAGATTACAATTATTTTGTTATCTGAGCTCATTCCATTTTAATGTAACATTGCCAAAAAACAATTAAGTCTCACATGTTTAATACCATGCATTGCCAGCAACTTGAACGAAATGTTTATTTGTTGTACTGTCGACTTGTCGAGTGACAAGTTTGAAGAATGGTTTATTACAATAAAAGTATAAATACCAGAAATTAAAACTAGGATTAAATTATGAATGTAATGTGTACTAATGTGCTGGCAAGCCTATCCTGTGTAAGAGCACGTCAAGCTTGATACCTAAGACTTAAATTCAACTCTATGCCACTTAAAATAAGCACGATCCAAAGCACAAAGTGTCAAGCTTGATGTGCTCTTGACTGTACTGTTGGGTAATTTTCCGAAATATTTAACATAGTGGAAAAACTGAAATATTTGAGAAATTGGAAAAATATAATTCGATTATTAAGTTCTACGTTTAGAAATATCTTTTGAAGTGTTATTTAGCTGTATCATAAAATAAAATTGTACAGCTAAAACAAGTTAGAGAAAAACGAGTTTTAAAATGTTTGTACGACTGCGAATAAAAAAAATCTTTTGAGTGACTCCACCGTTGTCGTACAGTAACTTCTACTTTTGACAGGTATCAACTGTCAAATGTGGAAAAATACTCGGAAAAAAATATATTTTTTCTTAAAATTGTGAATTTTTCGAAATGGAGATTTTTCTTAGACCCAACACTAGTCCTGTCGCACTTACGCCTACAAAATTACAACTAAGGGTCATATTCCAGAACTCTAATCAAGGCTCAAGTCAGGACTTGAGCAGACTTGAGTATGATTTCAAACACTGGAAATACGACCCCAATGGCAAGGACTTGAGTATGATTTTCAGTGCTCACTGCAATACTCAAGTCCTGATCTGAGTATGGTTTCAAACACTGGAAATACGACTCTAATGGCTGGGACTTGAGTATGATTTCGAGTGCTTTAAACCATACTCAAATCCTGACTTGAGCAGACTTGAGTATGATTTCAAGCACTGGAAATACGACCCTAATGGCAAGGACTTGAGTATGATTTCTAGTGCTTTGAATCATACTCAAGTCCTGACATGAGCATTGTGTATAGTTCTGGAATACGACCCTAAAAGTCATTAACCTGCATTGCAGTTCGCCGTGTAATGCAGGATTATTATTTTTTTTTAATTTTATTTAGTCGCAATTTTTTTATTTTTAGTCGCAGCGCGTACAAGCCATCCTGTAATCCTGCAAGGTTCCATACGTGGGCCATACACAGGATAATGTGTAAGCAGTGAGCAGTGTTATGTGGTGAGCAGTCTCCTAATCTGCGCGACGGACTGCCATGCAGACTTTTCTGAACTAACTTCAGTGTTGCCCATTTATGGGGAATTCCCCAAATGCAGGGAATTTCAACTCAACAACTCGTTTAGGGATTTTGTGGGGATTAGGTTATGTGGGGAAAATGCCCTCGAATTCTAGCATTTTATCGCATTTTTGTTACCTTGATGATCATTGCCATAAACATTATTTATTTGTTTGTTTATGAACGATATTGATATTTTTTTCAAAATCGCACTTTATGCCCGAAATGACCTTTGCTCTCTCTATAAATTTATAACTTTGATTTTTAGGTATTTTGAATAATTTGCATTGGCAACGTTGCAAATCGGAGGGAAGAATCGGACGTATATTTCATCTCCCCGCAAAAGTATAGAGAGCACGCCTTCCGACAATCGGACCGGTAATAAAATCGATGCTATTTCCGACTCGGACGTCAGATCCGATTATCGGATCGGACGTGTATTGAGTGTCCATACAAATATACGTCTTCCGATAGTCGGATCAGACTATCGGATCCGACTATCGGATGGAAAAATCGGACGTGTATCCGCACTAGTGCGCCAATCACTGTACTATAAATCTGGCTCTCGAAATTAATAATAAATAAAAAAATAAGGCTTTATTGATAACTGTTTTCACAATTTCGAAGAAAAAAGATAATGGCTAAATTAAAAATAAAATTATGACTTGCAGAATATTTAACCCCAAAAGTCAATAATTTATTTTTCGAATAATTTTAAATTTAGAACGCCCTCTGCCGCCACAGAGAAGAAATCTCCGCTGAAAGAAGCCTGTGAAAGAATCCTCTAGAAAGTAGGCATAGAAATCTCCGGTAACAAAATCTTTACGTGAGAATTTCTTCTTATTCCGAAGTAAAAGTGAGTATTTATTTATTTTTATTTATGTACAACTGTTCCTTGTTTGCAGCTATGAATGATTTGTGAAGTTGTTGTAAATTTCGTGTTCTTCACAAAATGGTGTGCCGGACTCGCGCTCGACAATTAGTTGAACTTAATTCGCAAAAATGTATAACAAACAGCGGTTATTGATTAAACTTTCTCGTATCTATGGGAATAATCTGCATTGGGTGCACCGTGGACAATTGGTTTATCAGTTAGGCGGCCCTTGCGGGTCTGGCAATAGGCTGCAGGCGGTAGTTTTCGCGTATTTCCTTTGATGACGGGACTTACCGCCAGTGCCTCTGTGAGGATAAGCACTAAGTTGCCGTCACAGCCAGAGCAGGAGGTCAGGTACTGTAGTTCAATAGTCCGTAGGTATATCTCGTTAATGATTTCGCATTGCGTTTATAAGGGTGATGCAGCAGTTTCCTCGGGGTGGAATTTCATAAAGGGCGCGCTAAAGACCCGGGTTTCGCGACCTTTAATGGAAGCTATTTATAGCTATTCAGGAGCATAATCAAATGAATGCCTCCCGATAGCGCGATGCGGATAATTCGCTGTAAAGCTCGTGATAAGTCTGGCCCGGTGATAACCTTTAGTGCCACGCATAGGTTTGTAACCACTTCTAGCGCTAGCGATGTTAGTTATATCTAATCATTTGTCGCTGGCACTTGAGCTAGAAGTTATTTAATTTGCCCTCCAAAGGCATCTTAATAACATTCGTGTATTGTTTCGACAGAAACACAAACGACAAGATGTGCGACCGCAAGGCGGTGATCAAGAACGCTGACATGAGCGAGGAGATGCAGCAGGACGCAGTCGACTGCGCCACTCAGGCTCTCGAAAAATTCAACATTGAAAAGGTAGGCGTTTTTCTATCTGGCCCTTGTCCCTTCCTTATCAGTTTAATATACACCCTTTGGCTAACCTTGGATATGCGACCTTCAAATGTGTGCAACAAAGATTGCATGTGCAATAATAGTTAACATTTACATAATTCATGTTTGTGCACAAATGCTTATGGTTAAATGCGAGTTGAGCAAATGTGTGAGCTGCATTTTGATTTCATACAATCGAGTTCATGGTCACTTTGAAAAGTTTGACATTGGTTTTGTTTTTTCCAGGACATCGCTGCGTTTATCAAGAAGGAGTTTGACAAGAAGTACAACCCGACGTGGCACTGCATTGTGGGCCGCAACTTCGGTTCCTACGTGACGCACGAGACGCGCCACTTCATCTACTTCTACCTCGGCCAGGTCGCCATCCTCCTGTTCAAGAGCGGCTAGGCGCTACATACCTCTCGCTCTAAATTTTGTGTTGTTAGCTGCGGCAGTATTATCGGGTTTACAGTCTCGTCCGCCTCCAGAGCTCTCTGAAGCCGGCCGCGCGCCGTCGCCGCAGCGGGCCCTGCCAGGGGCAGCGCCTGCTGCGGGGGCAGCGACGCGGCGGGGGCGGCATTCCAGGTGTATTTATGGCGTGAGTGAGTGTGTGCGTGAATGCGACAGGCAGCTCTGGCACGAGCCTCTTCACCCGTTTGATTAGAGATGCTGGACATTTCCGCGTCGCCCTTCACTTCTTAGTACCCGGCGCACTCGATGTATGTTTGTACTGTGTTAGCTATACTTTAAGGTTCGATATGACTTGGTAACATTCACTTCTAGTGTATTTATATTAAAGAAAATTTTAGTTAATATTCCTAGACTTTATTACCTAGCATAGCGTAAAAGTCATATGTTAGTACCTAACAAAATTTATTGTTTAATTTTCTTTGTTGATACATTCACTGGAGATATTTTCAATACTTCTATTATTAAACTTTCTTACAAACCGTATTCCCTTTTGTTTTCATGAGGTACTTTGAGAGACATGCCTGCTGCAACAAACCTGTGGGCACCTATTACCTGCTCTTGCCACTTGGCTGCCATGCCTATTATCCTTAATAGTAATAGTCTATATATGTTGAGGAAGAACAATAATGCAGGTATCAGTAAGACTTGCTTCAAGATTGTTCTATAAGTAGAAATTCTAAATTCAATGACCGATTTTACGTTTTGGTACACATTTACCGTTTTGTCCACCAGGATCCCCTAGCCAGTCTCCCAGGAGATCCTTGTGAACTGGCTGCGGACCTGTGCTGCACCTGGGTTCACCTGAGTGAAGCACGGGGTACTAACACGCCTGTCCATAACAATTGCAGTGCCACTCAGAGGTTTAAATCGCAAACATGCCACTGCGCCCGTCACCCTGAGATATAAGTTGACAAGTCCCATGTACCTGTAATTTCACCAGCACCCTTACTCTTCTAAGCCGGAACGCAGTAATGCTAACATTACTGCTTGGCGGCAGAAATAGGTAAGGTGGCAGTACTCTCTGGTCGAACTCTTTCACAAGCTCTCTCCACTGGTGCTTTGAATTATTGATTTTAATAGGGAACTTGGGGACTAGTCAATATATGACCTACTCTCAAAACGACTTATTCTTGAGAAAATTACTGTTCGGGGAATGACCTAATAAACGATTTTCGGAATTTTTTAAGGAGTAAGTAAACTAAGAATTAAAAAACAAGCTTCTTAGATAAAATCTTAATTCAATGTCTTCTTTATTTCTTTCAAAATTACTACACAGAGAGTGACCATTTTCGTTACTTTTTAACCGACTTAACAGGAGGTGGTTCTGTACCATTAGACAGTCCCATTGATGGTACAGAGGCATTTTTTTTTTGCCATTGTCCCAATAACGGTACTGTGGAATTTTTGTTTTTGCCCTCAATCCATTGAATGTACTACGGCAAAACATGTTTTCCCTAATCGACTGCTCTTTTCGTGTGTATGTTATTGTATGTATACCTAACTAGCATTTGTGAACCGATTTTGACGATTCTTTTTTGTTGGGAAGAGTACCTCGGTAAAGGTCCCATTTAAACTAGGGGTTGAATTCGTTTTCGCGCACTTTCCGGTAACCGATTTCAATAAAACTTGGCAAATAAATGTAATTCCACGAACTTTTGAGGTCATCTATATGTATCTATACATGTGGAACCCCCTTTTCCGACCATTGCTTATCACATTATACGTACATTGAAGTGCTGTTGAAATTGAAATAGGTGTTCGATATTTTATATAATAAAATTTTGAATAATATGGTGCACTAATTAGCTACACTACTAAAAAAGAAGGCATTTGGCAAACAGGGCCCTGATATTAATTCAAATCGGAGTCGATCCGATCCGGCAGCCCATCCGCAATTTTACACGCTTCGACTCTGAAAAGACGCACTTTTCGATCGGGAGAGGCAATCAAAATCGAGCTGCAGGTCTTTTTAAGAATGAGTCATTCTACGAACAGGGTGTTTTAAGAATAAGTCATTCTACTAACAGGCCATTATAAGAATACGTCATTCTACAAACAGGCCGATTTAAGAATAGGTCATTTGGCGAATAGGACACTTTTTCAAGAGTATGCCGTTTTGCGAATAGGTCCTATGCATAGATATTGGAGAATACCTATGGTCCTATGTCGACTAATCCTTCAAGACGCGTGTACCAAATTTCCAACCTAATAAGTTTACTTTGAGATCCCAGCGATAAACGCCATTCGCAGACAATTCCCCATTTACGAAGTAAAAGGTTGCTACTACCATTTTACTAATAACGCGTGGAAGAAAGCGTGCAAATTAGGCCTTACAAAATCGAAAGGAAAGGAAAGGATTGGGGCATTGTGTGCTGCCTGACCACTTGCGCCAAAATCTTATTTGGCGAATGCATGGGCGTATATAAAATGTAAAATGCCAGGAAATAAAGAAATGAAAACATTTAAGACTTACATGATAAAGCTTTGGTTTAAAAACAAAATTATCACAAAGATCTGAACTACATAGAACTACTGGACGGGACGGGAATAAACGGTTTATTTCATCAAACTACACAAGCATCGATTGTTATTTTATCACTACTGCTCATAGAAAAGAAATTGCTACAGGCTGGCACAATATTATACAGGTGTAATCGTTAAGAGTGTGTCCAGGCGATTAAACCGTAAATATAAGAGATATAAAAACCTTAAGGGCGCGTTCAAATTAGCCGCTGTTAGCCGCGCTGCAGCAGTGCTGCAGCCGCGCGGCGGCCGCGCGACCATCGCGCGATTCTCACTTTTCATACAATTTCTAGAAGCGCTGAACCGCGCGGTGGCCGCGCGACAGTCGCGCTGCTGCAGCGCTTCTAGAAATTGTATGAAAAGTGAGAATCGCGCGATGGTCGCGCGGCCGCCGCGCGGCTGCAGCGCTGCTGCAGCGCGGCTAACAGCGGCTAATTTGAACGCGCCTTTAAACTGCTATCGACAATTCGTTACCTACTGATGAGTAAAACATCAATAACTTTTTATAAATACAACTATAAATAACCAAAATTGTAACGTCATACGCTCCCATACATTGAATATGACATTCTTCGTAGAGAGGCTTTAGTTTCCCTACTTTATGAGGTCTAGTATTTTAAACGTTATTGTATGATTTTAAATTCATTATTTGTTGTTACCCTAACCACATGTCATGATTACTTATCAACCAGTAATGATTTTCAAGTATTATTATTATATAGATTGATTGATTATCACCACTTCAAATAATTACATACCCATTAGCGTCCAATGTCTATCGAAGTTTATAATATTTTGAAATGGCTGCAAAACAACATGCGAGTACAACTAAGAAAAACATGCTTTTAAAAGTTATTCAAAAAATTTATAGCGTTTTTTTTAATTCCCGTCAAAAGTACTTGAGCTCTAACTTCAGTAGTTTCACGGGTAATGGTAATCAATTGACTAAAAATGCGTAGTTTTTGTATTGTAAATGCCACAGTTCGAACATGGTTTGAACATTACATTCAACGTTACATAAAATGGATCTTGCATTCGTAACGGACATAGCAAATTAAATGTCCGTTATGAATGCAGAATTTATAATTCTAAACTATTGGAAGAGGCATAATTTTTTTTAATATAGGCTATAATTTTGGGACATCCTACATCATGTTGTATAAGAGTTGCTTTATTGAAACCCCAATAATAGTGTACTACACGCTGCGCTGTATCATTCAAAACTACCGAGTGACACTTAGCACATTTTTGTGTTGAGCAACAAATAAATTATTAGCCAAGGTACTGTATAGAAAAGAATAACAAAAGGCTGAATTGGGATAACTTTATAAGAAGTTGTCAGTTTGATCCTTGTTTCAACCAACTATGCATATAAGTAGGTATATGTACTAGTCAATTTGTGGTCGTGTTTCAACTTATGAAGTCATATTTCCAATTTATATAAATTTATGCAAAATTGCTTTGATTGCCTCGTGAATTCACACCACCCTTAAAATGAGTTGATTTTTCTTTGCTTTTTTAAATGATTTATTAAATCGTTAAAAGACATATTTTAAATCTCATTTATGGTACAGTATGGTGTCGCATCCGATCGGCTGGTCCGGAAATCTTTGGGGGAGGCCTATGTTCAGCACTGGACGTCTTCCGGCTGATATGATGAAGATGATGATGACGGTGTAACGGGCCGGTCTCACAATCTTAATTAACTCAATATAACATCGTTAATTGAATTACAGAGCCTTCTTTAGTGTCACCAGTTCGGTTCTAAACAGGGTATCGAAAAAAACAACAGGGTACTGATAATACTGTTAGTTGGGAATGGGGGCCTATACCAATTATAGTGTACCACACGCTGTACCATTAAAAACTATCAAATGCAGACTTTGTAAGCTGGGACTAGAGACCCAAATTTAGTTTCATAGTGCCTAGATATTTCACACTTATACTGCAAAGGGTTTGACCATAGACTAGGTACTGTAGTCTAGCCTCTACTCTATGAGTAGAATCACTGGCTGAATGAATAGTTTTGTAATTACAATGTGTTATAAAAAAGGAAGTAAGAAAAGAATAGAGCATCTTGAGAGAACGAAATGTAACCGAGCGCTGAATATATGTAAAAAAGTACAATAAACAATGTTTTGAAGATTATTCCAGTTTAAATTCATAAAAGTACCTCTGGCAACGTAATCCCGAGCTACGTCCCAGTTACAGTACCTACGTACGACTAGAACCTAGTCTACGTTTGGACAACATGGGTATAGCTTGCCCCCCATAAGAGAGACGTGTGACAAGCTATCAGTCAGACGAGCAACTGCCTCAGTGGCCGAACGGTTACCATGCCGGACTGCCACGCAGAGGTCCCAGGTTCGATTCCCGGGCCGGGCGAAATATTTGTATGACCTACACTTATTTCTCTCGTGAGTTTGGGTGTAATTTGTGGTTGTCTATGTGTGTGTCCATGGCACCCGCGACACAGGGTTTCCCTAGTGCGGGGCTATGTTGAGTGTGTGCGTTATGTGCGAATGTATATAGGTTTTGCAATTTTTGGCGCACCACTGCGTAAAATCAATTCCATGAAGACAAATTAAGTAATGTATTTACTCGGCCTTGTCTGCAATATAGCGTTTTTATACGTTCATAAAGCACACGCAGCTTGTGCTGTTCGTAATAGGTGTAATATGTTAATTGCAGCGGATCCTTTGGAGCGCTAAATGCCGCCGTATTGAATTAATTAAGATATTATATTAAGATATTAGCACGTATATAAATACCTATCCTTTGTTCTTTGTATTCATGTCATAGTGTTCAATTTCTAAAACATGATTGATTATAATAGTGGCGTGGAATTCCCTGTCTGCAGATTTGGTCTGAACGCTATAACTTGGGCCTTTCCGGCAAAAGTAGATAGGCATTACACATTATAGGTGTGCAATTGTTTATGCTCCTTCGTCAACGTCATCGTCAAGTGCACTTGCAATAAGCATTATATATATGTATTTGTGTTACCAAGTGACAGGACGAACGAGTCATGCGCCTGGTGGTAAGCGACACGCCTGTCCATAACAGTTGTAGTACCTCTAAGAGTTTTAAATCGCAAATATCTGAGGGCCACTGCCACTCCGCCCGTTATCCTGAGAGGTAAGTTGCGGTCCCATGTGCATGGAATTGCACCAGCACTCTTATAGGTGCACTTCAAAACCGGAACGCAGTAATGCTCATATTACTGCTTGGCTGCAGAGATAGGTAAGGTGGCAGTACTTCCCTGGACGCACTATTTCACAAGGAGCTCTACTGCTACAAATTTTTATGCTATTTAACCGTATAATCTAAATAAATAGGAATTATTTAGATTTCTGTATTACTTAGCCTATGGAACAATGGAAATCCTTCAATTTAATAAGAACAGATAGCAAAGTAAAAGAAATAGGTAAAACAGAATATTATATTCCCTTTCATATCTACAAGGGAATGAGAATGCTTTGTCAAATGTTACGAGGGACCAAGTAGCCCACTTTAAAAAGCTTTCTTTTAAATTTAAAATTTAAAATGTACTTACTCTTGACCACTATGAGATTATAAATATGCGGAAGTGCACAATCGTTACATTTGGCGGGCTGCAGAGATCGGTCATAATGTTGGTAATATCCAGATAGGAAGTTGCAACGGTCAAATCCCTACGTTTCCAAATTTAAAATTCCTATGGCCAAAATTCATGAAAAGTTTTCTAGTGGTCCTTTTCTTTCTTGGGAACTATACGACAGCGCCTTAATGTTTTACATCCGGTTTATAGTTATTAATCTCACCAAAATTTGATGTGATGTGGCAGTGTTGATATGGTCAAAAACGTTACAAAGCCCCAAAAATCTAATAAAAGTGATGTTTACGAACTTTGCCCAGGAACTATGCAAAGTCGATCCCACCCGGGACGTACCAAAACGGAGCATTTAGCATTAGAATTTATTATTCAGACAGGTAATTCTGTAATAGTAGGAATCTACTTGTTTAAAAAAGTTTTTATTATATAAGAAGAACCACAATGGTCTCCATTTAGCATTTGCCTGGTTTTGCAATGCAAGACTGCCCGACTACCGCGCTGTTGGTATTCTGTGGAGACAAAGAAAAATTGTGGAATCTTCCGTCAATCAACTACCAATTTATACGAGGAACTTAAATTTTTAAATAAAAATACACCTAATACAAATATAAAAGCTTAGTTAGTTATTCTAAACGCGTGCCCCTTTTTACAAGCTTGTTTTTAATTAATAGGATTAGGTAATTTCCTATTAAAGGTCAAGCCAGCCGTGTTTTATTTTTTTATAGTTTGTGTTGAGGCACTAGGTATCTATTTGAGAAGCAAGTTCACGTTCCCACAATTCAACAAAACATTCGAATCACGATACGCTAACAGTGACCACATCCTCATTTCCTATCAGCAACATTGTACCACGATCGACAACTCCCCAAATTTTCGTGCGCACAATGCTGCACACGAGGCGCTGTTTAGGGCTCCTATAAAAGTTCCCCAGGACACCAGAGCCAGCAGTCGAGCCGTGGTGTTACGGCCAACTGAAAGTCTTACAATTTCTTTGGGTACCCTACTAGGTTATTAGGGTAACTAAACTGTACATAGTGTTATTTACCGACTACTTTGTATTTTTGAACTTTGAAAAAGAAAAAAATAAGGTAAGTTCTTTTAAGTTTATTGAATGTCACGATGTTTGACCAATATGATTTTTGTGAAATTACTCCAATAGTTTGTTAATATATTTAATTAAGATAGGGTTTTTGATGTTTTCATCTATCATGGTCTCTATGACGAAGGTTCCATCTGAAGTTTCAAGCGTACGTTGTGGGAATTACTTGCCTAATGCTGAATACTTTTGTTACATGTCATTATGCTATAGGTATAAAGTAGACAAATTATATTAAAATCATTATGGACGATGAAAGGGCACAACAAAAGAACGGAATCTTTTTTTTTGCGTTATTATTTGATTTATCTTATCTTAAATAATAATACTGATGCATATTGTTAAATGTAATATTTTCTCCAATTAGTTTTCCATGTCACTTAGACGATAGTCCCTGTTATCATTGAAAAAGCGAATCGAATTTCACAGTCAGCCGTGATTCTGGGACCTGTGAAGAGCCCTTAACATTGGTTTTTTTTCAAGAAAAAAAAACATCCAGAACAAGCAAACTGATATTTTGCTTTAAGATAGTTCCCGTATCTTCGTCGTATGTTTTGATTATAGTGACCCATCCTTTCAATATCTTGGTTCAACCTTCTACGTACAGGGCCGACCCCCAATCAGTCAGTGTACAGGGTTGTCACAGACCGTGCTCACTGCCTTCATCCCGTTCTCAAGAAGCTAGTGCCTCGGGTGAGCCGCCCCGGGTATACGTACAGTACCCTCCCTATTTTCCAGATAGGTACCGGAGCTGTTGGCACGCTCACTTCCCGTTGTGCATTGCACAACTAACGGTTTAGCAATGGCAACCGTTAGTTGTGCCGTTGACTCTAAAGTTCACTACATAATCTTCTTTTTGGTGGCGGAGCTGTGGGCATGCTCACTTCCCGACCGAAAAATATCATGCTCATATATATAGCTCATCCTCTACTAGCTCTCTGGGCTAGTACCGAGGATATCGATCGCAGTGTCCTGGGACAATGTCTGGACATAGCTTCCAATTTAAAAGGCACTTCACATACCCCGCGCGTCGCCTCGCCATAGGCCCTAGTCGAAACCGCTACTAAGACACGCTAGCTGCGCACGAGACAGACGTCCCGGTTACACGCCACTGGAGCAGACGAACATGTCCGTCTCTGCAGCTACCACAAGCTTCACAAGCCTATACCCAGAGTCCACCAGACACATCCGTGAAGGCATACCACCGGCGAAGAACTTGGCCCGGACGTCCGCCGTACCCTGATTTTATCAAGGAGCCCGTAGTATTCCCGGAACTCCCAATCCCTCGGGTCGGTAGATCGGCTTTAAGACAGAGAGAAGTGTAATTAATTTATTTAGTATTCGGCAAGATTGAAAAGGATAATAATTAAAAGGGTAACTCCTTTTAATTATCCGTTTCAATCGCTTCCATGTCGGGTCGGGGTCATCGAGAGTGTAAACTTGGTTTCCCCGAACTGTGATACCCTAAACATTCTTACTTTGTTCATAGATAGATTAATCAATAATGAACACAATAATTAGGCAGGAAAATAAATAGGTAGTCAATAACACAACAGTAAGTATGTGGAAGTATTCAAACAAAACCGTTCAATTCCAGTGAGTCAACATGAGCAATAATAAGAACCAACTGCTGCTGTTTTTCGACCGGCCCACGGAGCCATGCTTCATGCAGAAGGGCGATGACAAGTCTGTCTTCCAGTTACCCGAAAACTACTACGTAAGTATCAACAGCACCATCAGCGCATTTCATGCTGGTCGTAATATACGTCTATTAACATATACTTTTTGCAATCAGCCGGATAAGTACAAGCATGCCGCATCGTCTCTGGGCAACCGTTTCAATACTGACGATGGCCGCACCATCGCCGTGCGAAACATCGCTGTGCCTAATCTGCAGCTGCCCATGGAGCTGCCATACAACGACCAGTTCTCCCTGTTTGTACCCAAGCACCGCCGTATGTCTGGGAAACTTATCGATGTGTTCATGAGTAAGACTCTTCTACCGTTTTTAAAAGTGGAGTTTGATCTTAAATTTCTATTTATGTGGCAGTTTATAACAGATATTTCAAATTGTGGTATAGTCATGAATACGAATATCAGCATTACATAACTGTGTCGTGTGGACCCTGTTCTTGAACAAGACCTTCCTAAATGCCTGTTGTTACGATATCATGGAAAGCGATTAAAGTGTGTAAAAACTTTTAAATTTAGATGATTGACAATATGCAACTGGAACCATCTGTACAATGATAATGCTGGGCTAAGCATATAGGCAAGCACTGATGAAGTATATATGTATGATGATGATGTTTTGTCCAGGCATGCGCGACGTGGAAGATCTAATCTCTCTGTGCTCCTACTGCCAGCTGCGCATCAATCCTTACATGTTCAACTACTGCCTCTCCGTTGCTATTCTGCACAGGTACATGAATAGAGTTCCAGGTTGTATTCCTGGAGTCAATCTAGGAATCATCCTGGAATCAATTTAGGAAACCAGCTTTTTAAATAGAATCTAGGTTTAAACGTTTCTATTTTTTACGTGAGGACATAGAACGTAGAGTGTTTAACACAAATGTTTCAGACCTGACACGAAGGGATTGAATATACCGACGTTTGTGGAGTCCTTCCCCGATAAGTTCATGGACCCCAAGGTGTTCCGCAAGGCCAGAGAAGTCACCACCACCGTGCAATCGGGCAGCAGGGTAAGTGATCTAAAATTGCAATTTAGCCGAAACGTTGGTTTGTTTTATTTCTTATGTGTAACAATCCCGAAAACATAAGAACTCGATATTGCTGTTTAATTTTGATATATGAACGGCAAGCAAACTTCTCTCGCGTGAAAGGTACGCACTACATACAGCATTACTCACCACCCCGTGAAATTAGTAAATTTTATTTATTATTATTGCATACCAATCGCTATATTAAAGATTTTTTTAGCGTTCGCTCGTTCTAAAAAGAAGCTATTGGCAAGTGAGATAAGTTTCAGCGATTGCTCTCAGAATGTCTTTCTTAACGATCATCTGACCCCTGAGTGCAAACGGTTACCAACTTCTACTAAATCCTCTTTAAAACCTAAATGTTATCAATATATCTATGAAATTTGGTACAATACATGTGCGTAAAAATGACACTTCGAAGATTTATATTATTAACAATGAAAGTGATTTAAACAAGTTGTAATAGAGTGTTGTTTATCTAAACTAGTTACTAATTTGTTTATTTTTGTGCTAAGTTATACTTGCTTTTGTAACTTATCGCGTTACTAGTAGTAATTTTTTGTTTTGTTATAGTTTACCAATTTGGTTTGTTTTCCATTAATTAGAAATCGTAAAAGTTTGAGTGCCTCTGCTCTGCTAAACCCGTTCTATTGTTTCTTATTTTGTCCCATTGTTAATTTCTTTACCTGCGCTAACCACTATGATTCACTTATATTGCATCTAGTGCAACTTACGATTGTCTCTTTCCTGCTAAGCATATATTCACGGTGTCTCTCGCTTATGAGGTTCTGGTTAAGTCGTATTATGACTTTATTCATTTAAATGTATGTACGTATGTGTTTGCTGAATAGTGTTACTTTTTGGTTAAAATCAAAAAATAAATACAGTTATTTATCTATAGCGGTGCTGTTCCTTGCAGATTCTTATACATTTATATACTGCTACTACTTAATTTCGTCAATTGCTTTCACCAATGATTAATTCTACAGATAACTCATACTTTCCTACTATTTATTATCAAAATGTGAGAGGACTTCGTACAAAAACAATAGGCTTTTATTGTAATTTACTTAGATATTCTTTCGATATCATTGTACTGACGGAGACGTGGCTAGTTGATGGAATTTGTGACTCGGAATTATTTGATAGTAGGTTTATGGTATGGCGGCGTGATCGAGATCTATCACAAACGGGTCAAAATTTTGGCGGTGGCATTATTATCGCTATCCGCCGGGATTTGATAGTTACTCTTCAACCTACCTATCAATCCTCTGCGGAACATTTGTGGCTGACTTTGTCATTAAAAAGTCCTGGCAATGGAACTACTATGTTACATATGTGTATTTTATACTTATGTAACCAAAATAAAGGTTACTCTTTTCTCTGCATCTGCAAAATTTTTTAGACAAACTTGGTGAGGTTGGACTGAGTAACGCTGGAGACAAACTCTTCATTATCGGTGATTTTAATTTAGGTGATATTTATTGAATTGTGAGCCAAAATTTTTATGTACCGTCTGATTATTCTACCCATGATGAGTGTGCTCTCGTGGTTGAATTGAGTACTCAAAATCTAAAACAATATAATGGCATTGTCAACCAATATGGCAGAATTTTGGACCTTGTCTTGTGTAATGACACCGTAACGGTTTCGGAATACTTGGAACCACTGGTGCCGCCTGACCCTTACCATAAAGCTTTAATTATATCTATACGATTTATCCCTTTAACTCGTTTCAAATCAGCCCCAAATACAAAATATTTTTATAATAGGGCTAATTACGAGCCTCATTAATGCTGAGCTCTTAAGTCTCGACTGGGATAAGGAATTTTCACACCGTACGTTAGATCAATTCGTTGAATTCTTTTACACTAAGTTTAGACAAATTAGAGACCAGTATTTTCCGAGTAAATTTGTAACTTTAGATACATGAACATACAGATACAAGAAGGCTATCAGACAAAAAATAAATATCACCGCAGATATAAATTGTACAGCGATAAGTGTGAGATAATGTATTTAAAATTTCAAAGGGATCGCGTTAAATTGTTAGAAAAACAATGCTTATTGAACTACACAGAATCAATAGAAAATAATATTGAAAAACATCCGAAACAGTTTTGGTCGTTTGTTAAATCTCGTTCTGATTCTCACTGTATTCCTAGTAGTCTGAGATGTGGTAATGTTATGGTTAGTACTGGAACTACTTTTTTGGACACCTCATCATGCGATGTTTCGGAAGAATTTGATGTTGGTACTGATTATCAGACAGTTTCTGGTATTGCAAGTATCAAAATGGATTCTAACTTGCTTACCAGATCATTATTTAAACTGGATCTGAGCAAGTCAGCTGGTCCAGATCACTTACCGGCGTGTACGTATTTTTATATAATTGTGCTGATTGCATCACTAAACCAGTCATTAATTATTCAACTTTCGTTTACTGAACGCTACGTGCCGGTACTGTGGAAACGCGCGTTTGCTACCGCTGTCTTAAAGAATTCTCCTAAAACCCACGTAACCAATTACAGACCAATTTCTAAATTGTGCATTTTATCGAAAGTATTGGGAAAGATTTTTTATACCCAAGTCTATAATGCCTATAAAATTATAATATAATATTATAAGTATATAATTCCTTTAGTCACACCCAACATGATTTCCTTCCGCCTAGGTCTACAGTATCTAATCTTATATTATTGAACGAATTTGTCTCACAATCTATGGACAGTGGTCATCAAGTAGATGTCATCTATAATCTATACAGATTATAGTAAGACTTTTGATAAAATTGACCATAATATCCTTATGACTAAACTCGCTGTGAATGGTATCAGAGGCGACTTTCTTAGGTGGTTTTCTTCATACATAAGCAACAGATCTCAAGCAGTGGTAGCAAACAATTATATATCCAGTTGGGTTAGCATATCTAGCGGTGTTCCTCAAGGTTCATTGTTAGGGCCACTCCTTTTCAATATATTTGTTAATGACATTAGTAATTGCTTCCGTTTTTGCTATTTACTCAGCTTTGCTGATGATATGAAAATTTATACTAAAATTACGTCCGTGGATGATGCTATTGCTCTGCAATCTAATCTATCGTGGCTGGATGACTACTGTCTGAACAATAAATTAGATCTTGGCCCCTCCAAATGTTTTTTAATGACTTTTTCACGCAAAGTCAAAACTATTTTTACTTCTTATAGTTTGAAAAAACGGTGTCTAGCACGAAAGACAGTCATGAGGGATCTGGGTGTCATCCATGACTCAAAGCCGGTCTTTGATGCTCATATTGATGGTGTTATCTTCAAGGCTACTAAATCTCTTGGATCATTATTGCGTAACTGTCTGTTTCTCAAGGCCAAGAACTTTACGAATATTATGTTGGGCATATGTTTGTATTAAGTTGTCATATGCTCCCCAAATATGGAGTCCGAGATACCAAGTGTATTTAGACAGACCTGAACGAGTCCAAATGAAATTTATTAAATTCTTATGCTATAAAATGAGTAAGTCTTATAATTCATGCGACTACCCACGTCTCTGCAATGATCTGAATCTATTACCTCTAAATATTCGCCGAAAAATCTTTGATATTGCGTATATTCTAAACATTATAAATGGTAATGTTGACTGCTTTGCTTTGACTTATTGGGTGATATTTCGTTTATTGTTCCTACTCGTTCTATGAGACACTATCACCTTATTGCACTTCCCTTAGCGCGGACTAACTATAGACAAAATAGTTTTCTATGTAAGCTAGTAAGAGCTTGGATAGTGTGCTGAACAATCATGACCTTGAAGTTGATATATTCAATTATAATGTTGATGCGCTAAAGCGTAAACTCACGGACATTCTATTTACCTAAGTTTATTAAATAAATTGTGATTAGCGCAGGTATTGGGTTATTATATTTATGTAAGTGCATGATGTTAAGAAATACTGTTTATTGTTCGTTTGTTTAATGCTCGTGTATGATTTGCTTGAAGCTATAGGTGGGAACCTGTAATTGGCTTTATTTTTATATTCCTGTTTTTATTAAATGTAAGAAGCTGTTGGTTTTATATAAATAAATAAATACCATAATGTTATATACAAGGTGGTAGGTAACATAAATTAAGATCATTATCGACTCTGTAAGGGCACAGCAAGTTCTATACTGGAAAGGCACATGCCAGAACCAGAGGACATTAAATCTGTCGGAGCCAGGAAAGTCCTTCAGTTCTTCAATGCTGTCAGCCTTGGCTCTGCACTGTAATTAGTGGTGATCACAATAGATCAGTCGGTGGTCACAGTGATAAGGGGATACATAGGCCCTGAATGAAGCCATTCTAATAATAAGGGCTCAGCAAATACGCAAACAAAAATCTGAATGAATGAAAATCCTAATCCTATTCTATTTAGTGAACCTTTTAGATTATTACTGGTATATATTATTGCTCATTGTGTAGATGTTTGTTGAGAAAAAAAATTAATAACACAATAATCATTTATTATTTATTATGAAACTGCTTCGGTGGCCGAGCGGTTATAATTTTGGTCTGCCACGCAGAGGTCCCGGGTCGGGAGATATATTACGACGCACCCACGATACAGGGTCTCCCTAGTGCGGAGCTATGACTGTGTGCGTTAATTTATATTAATTATGATTTTATAAATAATAATTAATTTCACATTATATCAAGTATATTATTATTAATTGGACATCATATTCCTAACATCTAAGTACTCATGTAGTGTATAGTAACTATTAGCCACTAATTATGTTTTTATACATTTTAATTGACATAATGAACTAAAACCTTCTGGTAAGGACTAGACGAATGCAATGTTAATCGCGAGTCTGGTGGTATAATCTGTCTTAGGGTCGTATTCTAGAACTATTCAATGCTCAAGTCAGGATTGCTATGGAAACACAAGCACTGGAAATACGACCCTAATGGCAGGGACTTGAGTATGATTTCGAGTGCTTCAAACCATACTCAAATCCTAACTTGAGCATTGAGTAGAGTTCTAGAATACGACCTTTAGTGTCGTCAGGAATATTTAGTCGGAATATTTTCGCGTTTAGTAATTAAATAGATTTTTTTTGGACGAAGTTACATAGTTCTTGGATATAGGGTGAAGTCTCCTAGTGGCGGAAATGTAAAGTTATAAGACATTGAAGAAAAGAACTGGTTCTAGAAATATAATTTTATCTATCAATTAACAATGTCAACAAATTTTAGAATCCAAAATACACGAACAAAATACAACCTCTCCATAAACGTACTTAAAACACAAATCAAAATTTGGTAACAAAAACGGCTATAACTGCATGTGGCACCTATGACCGGGTAGTCTTAATTTCAATCTTCCAGGGCCAGATGTCTTTAAAACATCGTGCACCGATTGCAAATGTAGATTTCGGAACATTCAGGAATGTCTGCACTTACTTCGTGAGCCCACTCACAGCAACTGGAGCACTGTATCCAGTCTTCGTCTTGGTTCTCATAGCAAGTAGTTGGACTTATTCCCCGAACACCGAACGCTATAACTTGAACCTTATCGAGGCGAGAGTGAATAGGTATTATTTATGTTTGCATGCATTACATCATCGACATTCATCTTCCATCAGGTGAGCTGGAGGTAAAAATTTTATTTTTGCATAAAAAAAGTAGTTTCTGTGTTAGATATTTAAGAACCGTTAAGGTTCTATTTTCTTTGCTTTGTATCCACTCTTTCCTTAGGTCTTTACTCCTTTGGTCTGCTTCTCTTTTTTCTCTTGTTGCCGTTCTGAACTTCCTACCCAATTCTTTCTTTTTGTCCCTAACATGTTTTCCATTCTCTTTTTCTTCAACAGCAATTTGGTATGGCGATTGATCCTATTTTTTTTCGTGTCTTCCATTTCGAGTTCCCTCTGTTCTTCTATTCTCTAAAACAATATACAACAAATATTATAAAAAACAAATAAATATTTATGAGAAAAACACATGTGTGTCCGGTGTTAAAGGATACACTAGTGAAAAAACTACTGCGTGTCAGGTACTAGGGGACAGAAAATTCCTATAATTTCGTATTTTATAGCAAAAGTTCTTTAAAAATTTACAGTAACTTTTACAAACTTCGAATACTTATAGAACACTACGTATAATAACAATTACCATGAACACTTAAATAGAAGTAATACTCACTCAGTGCCTTGAATCATGGTCTCGCGCGTCACTAGCAAATTTGTCTCGCGATCCTGTATCGATATGTTCTCCCGCGCCCTTTTCACCCACTTTTGATCGAACACATTGCGAGATATCAAGATAGTACGAGTGTCCGACGTTAGGTGCCGTCCGGCGTTAGGGGACTTTCCCCTACATAAACACGGTAAAGTGATAATTTTGTCCAGTTGGAAGAACGGTTGCTGGGTGTGCTAGTGCAACTGTCGGTCTGTTTTACATTTTCCAGAATTCTTACAAGTTTTTTTTGAAGAGTAAATTGGAGGAAGGATTGATGCGTCTGTGCTGTTACTCCCCATTATGATAACATCTATGAGTACTTATTATGAACTTCGATGAGTTCTCCAGCGTAAGTGTTTTCACGACTGATCCACATGGTTCCGCTGTAATGAGATCATATTTTCAGATGCCAATCACAATCCCGCAAAACTACACTGCATCAGACGCCGAGCCGGAACAGCGCGTGGCTTACTTCCGCGAAGACATCGGGATCAACCTGCATCACTGGCACTGGCATCTGGTGTATCCTTTCGATGCCTCTGACCGTGCAATTGTCAATAAGGACCGTCGTGGCGAGCTGTTCTACTACATGCACCAACAAATCATTGCTAGGTTAGATACATGATGCCGACGGTATTACTTGTTTGTACAAGAATCGAAATAACATATGATATAAATAGCTTGAATATTAGGGAGCCAGATTAAGTAAATAAAATTGGGTCAAAAAAATGTTGTATAGCTGTGATAGTGCAACAAGAGTTTGTCTAGTAAATGCTTATTTTCTCTAATCTTGGGCAGCCCTAAATTTCAGCTTTCGGGAAATTTTGAAACCGGCAGTGTGTTCCATTCTTTTGTCGTACACATAAGGAAGGATGAAACAAAGTGGTGAGTCAGTGACCTAATGATGGAGTTTTCCGGACTTTATATTAGACCGATGGAGGAACGGAGTATGAGCGTGGAATTAAATTGTAAAGTTCCTGCACACACTCTCCGAAATGTGTTCGACAGAAAATCGACAAGCTGGCCTCGTTTCTGCGGTGATTGCAAATTTCGATTCCACAAGAGAGTCGTTGCCAATTAGTCACTTTGCTTAAGCTCAGCCGATTATATAGTTGTTAACTGGTATCGGACAGAGCATTCCCAGGCGACACAGCAATACCCCGTGCACGACTGAACTGGTGCTCTCTTTAAGAAGCATCTAGAAACTATCATTATTCAGTTACTAATAATCCACGTTAAGAAACTTTTAAAATTTAGAAAGTATTCTGTTCTCAGATATCAAACCGAGCGTCTATGCAATGCCCTGGGCCGTATCGTGCGCTTCAATGATTTCCGCACTCCAATCTTAGAAGGTTACTTCCCCAAGCTCGACTCGCAAGTGGCCAGCCGTTCATGGCCTCCTAGGTGCGTACACTTACACAATCGGCTCTTTTATAAAACTTTTTTTGATAGGTATCCTTGCTAATACAATATAAATATGTATAGTTGTTTCATCTTTGTCAGCAGTGTTCCTTACCTTGACCATCTGCAAAGTGGTTAAGTGATTGAAGAATGACAATAAATATCTACCTACTGGTTTTAATGAACCCATTCGTAAAGCTTGGTCGTAGTGTTATTGTTTTGTTAGTTTATTTGTTATTAATATTTCGGATATCTATTTTATATTGCAAATATGCGGTTTGCAGGTTTGCCGAGACCACGATAAAAGATATCGACCGTCCGGTGGACGCGATCAAACTCGATATATCTACACTGGAGACCTGGCGCGAGCGTTTTCTCGAGGCTATTGAGAATGGGGCCATTCTGCTAGTAAGAAAGTGATAATATTAGTCTATATGTTAAGTACTTTGTGCGTTTGTATAAATACAGATTTTCTATAATTTGACTTAAAAACGTAATTCCGGTCGGAAAGTTTCCTGAAATATTTCGGATTTTTTCATTTTATAATATCAAGTGCGCCTGGTGGTGCTACACGTTGGTCCATAACAGTTGCAGTGCTACTCAGAGCTATATATTGAAAAGATCTGACGGGCACAGCCATTGCGCCTGTCACCCTGAGACGTTGTCTTGTCCCAAGTGCAATTTCACCACCCCTTATCCTTTAAAACCGGAACGCAGTAATGTGAGCATTACTACTTGGCGCTAGAAATAGGTAGTACTACCCTGGACAAACACCTTCACAAGGAGGTCTACTACTTCTTAAAATATTCCCAAAATAGGAAATTTTAGAGATTTACATATTTACCTGCTTATTTTTACGTATCACATAGTTCTATCGCATTGTTGTAAAACCAAACTGTTTTTGAAAAAATGAATAATTTTTCATGTTTCCTTAAATTTCCGTAAATTGCATGGAAAGTTTCCTGGAAATGTCTATGCATCAGCAGAACGACTCAAATAGAATATTTGATAATATCAAATATTCAATGTTATAGATTTTACTATTTCTATGCGGTAATATTATTATGTATTAGTTAATGTAATAGTTACGAGGGCGACATCTTGAATCAGTAAAAAAACAAATTTAATTCTGAAACATAGCTCTTCGACATCCTTAAAGTATAAGGTCCCAGGTCCGATTTCCGGTGAGACCAATTTGGGAAATGAACTTATCTGAATTAGTTTCTGAGTGTTCTGGGTGATACTCTCATAGTGATATCATTACTTTGGTTCTCATACGAGTAGTATAGGGAACTCACTGGTTTACCGGTTCACTAGGTTATCGATGTAGTAAACTAGCACATATTATCATCCATCACCATCATCATCACCAATACTACCACCATCATCATAATATCACCATGATTATCATCAATCAACACCATCATCACCAAAATAATCATCATGCAGACGTTTTTCAGTTGAAATGCTGGTGATGGTTGATAAAACTAGAAACTAAGATATATTACCATAATACATTCTGAAAACTTTCTAATAAAAGTTCTGGAAAGAAATTAAGAAATTTGAAGATATTTTCACCAAAATGGGTTTCCCTGGTATTGACTATCAATAAAATGTATTAAGCAAGCTACGCTACGAATAGAATATTTCGTCATATCTGAAAAAAAAAATGATTTTGTAATAAAAAATCAACTCTTTACGTAAATTTCGCAATTTCACAAATATTCTCGCAATATGTCCGAGAATATTTCCTAATGCGGAATATCCAACACAACTTGCATCCCCAGCCTGCACTTGAACCTTGTAAGAGCCTGCGAGCTGGCTTACGACATTGCGAAAATCAAGAGTACAGTGTCGTTTGAGTCGTTTATAATAATATGTTAATACCTTATACTGTTTGCAGCCGGACAACCGCACAATGCCTTTGGACGAAAACCGTGGCATTGACATCCTTGGTAACCTGATGGAGGCCTCTATAATTAGCCGCAACCAGGGTTACTACGGCGACTTGCACAACATGGGACACGTCGCCATCTCGTACTCCCACGATCCCGATAATCGCCATTTGGTAAGGTCCTGAAGTGATTCAAGAGGGGGGTTTTCTCGAATGCTTTGGCTCACTCTATTGATTGCCAGTTAACACTGAATGACAGTTCCGAAAAATTACTTATTAAGATTATTCTAATCCGGGTCTTGCAGATCAGAAGTGGTAACAGAGTTTGTGTGTATTTGCAGGAGCAATTCGGCGTGATGGGCGACTCGGCTACGGCGATGCGTGATCCCGTCTTCTACCGCTGGCACGCCTACGTTGACGACATTTTCGTCTTGCACAAGAAGAAACTTACGCCCTACTCTGCCGGACAGGTGCTTTATTTTACTAAGCAGTGGACACCAGTTCACGTGTACCAATCAGTTTGAGGACGTTATTTTGCTTGCTTGCAGCTGGATTTCCCAGGCATCCGCGTGTCATCGCTCGGCGTTGAAGGGTCGGCCGGGGCGAATCAATTCGGGACGCAGTGGGAGCAGAGCACCGTCGAGCTGAGCCGCGGACTCGACTTCACGCCGCGAGGATCAGTGCTCGCGCGATTCACTCATCTGCAGCATGATGAGTTTGACTATGTGTTAGTATGCATTTCATGCATCGAGTTAATAGTTGTCTACTGTATTGCTATTCTGGAGCAACAACTCCATTGCAGAGCCGGGAAGGTTATGTACGCCTTATTAGTCTGGTAATGAAATTAATTTGAGAATATAATTCGTGAATTAAATTTAAGAATTCAAAGTGAAACGATTCTGCGAGTGACGGAAATGTTTTCATAAACAGAATCGAAGTGAGCAACAACAACGGACAATCGGTGACGGGCATGTTCCGTATTTTCATGGCGCCTACGACCGACGAGCGTGGCCAACCGCTAGCCTTCGAGGAGCAACGCCGCCTCATGATAGAGCTCGACAAGTTCCAGCAGGGATGTGAGTACAATCAAAGTACTTAGTAGTGACAGGCTACAATATCTCGTACATATGTCGCTCAAACATTCGCTGTAACGAACTCAAAATTATCAAATTACCTATGTAAGTTATCTCAACCATTTTAATTGAAATTACAATAATTTTTAAGTAAATCCAATTTGCACACCGTTCCTCATAGTTGTGCTCTGCTTATCAATTTCTTTTTAGTAATTCTGTTTGCTATTGGTCCCTTGTGTTGACTTCTTAACATAAATTGGATATGTCCGAATCGCAGTAAGGCCTGGTAACAATACAATCCGTCGCCGATCCGTGGACTCGTCCGTGACCATCCCGTACGAGCGCACATTCCGAAATCAGGCGGACCGGCAGGGCGACCCCGGTTCGGCGCAGGCGGCCGAGTTTGACTTCTGCGGCTGCGGCTGGCCCCAGCACATGCTCATACCGAAGGGCACTCAGAGGGGATATCCTGTTGTGCTCTTCTGTATGGTCTCCAATTACGATCAGGACAAGGTGGGAAAAGTGAAATTTACCTGCTTCACAAAACGCGAATATCCTTTTTCATGTAATATTTGTTTACACACACTACTACAATATTTGTATTATTATACATGAACAATTTCAAGTTATTTACGACTTTTCGTAACTCAAAATCTACATGTTTGATAAAGTGTAACTACGAGGGTAAGTGCACGGGAATTCATTAAAGTAAGATCAAATTGTGATTTTTTCCATGTTGTTCATACGTGCGATACGTACGGCATAAAACATTCATTTGTAATACGTAGAGTATTAGTTGCAATTACCATTTTAATGACACGGTAAAATTTTTAAATAGCATTACCAAGTAAAAATACATGATTCGTAATAACTAAGTTAGCAATAATTGCTCTTTATACACAATCTATACAAATTGTCTAGATATTTCTTAAAAATAATAACATCGTTAGATAGGTATGAAGTTTCAAGGAACTATTATTAAAGTTAGAACCCACTTAGAATTCAATTTTATTTTGATTCATAATACTTGCCCATAAGTATGTTTTAGCGTTAATATCTTTAATGAATTATATATAACAATTAGTGTATTTTTAGCAGCAGTAGTGCTCCCTTTGGAAGAGTTCGTCCAGGGAAGAAAAAATAGTCTGGTCAAATCTGACGGTCTGTTTTTTTATAAAAAAATAAGTGTGCATTTGACCTTCATCTCGCCTCATGGAAAGTGACGATGAGGTCGAGGAAGCATGCACACCTAAATAATGCCTATTCACTCTCGCCTTGAAAAGGTCCAAGTTATAGTGTTCGGTGAACAAGTTTCCAGGCAGGGAATTCCACTACCCAGCTCCTCGCCATACAAATGTGCAAGCGAAACGCTTCGAGCGAATCCGGGGAATATCCACAACATAGGGGTGGAACCCCCCCTGCCCACGTCTAGTCTATCGATGATGGAAAGGGGAAGGCGAAATCAAATTATGCAATTCCATCGCACACTCTCCGTGACATATCCTGTCGAATACCGATAAGCTGGCAACTGTACGGCGATGTTCAAGGCTCTGCAGCTTCGCCTCTACTAGTTCCGAGTCACCTATAAGCCTCTTAGCACGCTTGTCTATTGAAGCCAAGGTGGCCAGTTGGTATTTAGCAGAGCCATCCCATTAGTGGCAGCAGTACTCCATACACGACCGGATTTGTGCTTGGTACAGCTGAAACATCTGTCCCGTGTTTGCGTAGTCGAGCATCTGCCCTAGGTTGGTATGCAGACTGTTTTCGTGCTTCATATCGAATTTGTGTTGCAGATCGACCAAGACCTTGTGGGTGCATGCAATGATGCGTCGTCTTATTGCGGCATTCGCGACCGCCGTTACCCCGACAAGCGCGCGATGGGCTACCCGTTCGACCGAGTAGGCCGCCAAGGCGTCAACTCGCTTTCTGACTTCGTCACCGCCAACATGGCCACCCGCGAGTGCAGAATCCGCTTCACCGACGCCACCCGACTAAGAGGTCAGCCGAAGAAGTAGGTTCATCACCGGCACATACTCTGAATTGAGGGGGAAGCATCACTAATACTAATTCAGAAATCATTTCTTCATTATCGCGCTAAAATTAATTGTTTCTTCAATCTATTGTACGGTTATAAATTCCTGTTTAATTAGGGCCGTAAAGTTTGGTCGTCTTGTATACAGGCAGAAAAATTAAAAGCCGTTAAGTGGAAACTTGGAAAGTAACTTCCAAAATTCTACAAATTCCAAAATTCTATCGTGTTGCCCAGACCGTCTCAATGTTTCCCCTAAGATTGTCGTAACCAAAAAGCATAATAATGTTGCGCATTTTCTGCCATAGATGGACTCCGTCCTCTGTACATGTCTCAATGGCTCAGGCTACTTCAGGGGACGCCACGCAACTTGCTAAGCGCTCTTGTGGTTGCCAGGAGACTTACAGCCTTCTTGACATAGATGCTCTAATACGAAAACCTTATTACGCCCAACCATGCTCTCAATGCAAAGGACATTTTGTACCATTGAATCAGTAGACGGTCCTTGTTTTCTAACACCATCATAGTTTCCTAGTGTCTTCTTTCTAAATGAGCATTTTTATAAACATATTTTATGTGTCCATGTGTATTACACGGAAAAGTAATAATTAAACTATCTACAATAATGATATTTATATAAACAACACATACATTATCCATCTATGATTGAAATGCAACTAAGTATGTAAATCTTTATATACTTATTTATTTACTGTATTACATAAATTCGATGTTTTTTTGGACAGATTTAGGCTATGCTAAATGGATTTCGATTTATATTTAATTTACTCTGTAGTTTTAACATAGCGTGTTTAAGTTATAATTGCATGTTATTATGTAAGCAATTATAAAGTATTAGTTCTGCATTCGAGGTGCTTAATCGCAATAAAATTTTATTAATTAGGATAACGGGTCAACTAGCTATAACTGTAGATATGTACATATAAAAAACTTTTCATGAGACTGAATAAATATCAAACCTTTCTACAAATAATTTGTTTTATTTCAACCCTCGACTTTACACCACAGATTTCAGAATTTCAAATGTCTTAGGACACTTAATAGAATGAATGGTTCAAAGCGTAAAGCTTAGTATGCTGTTGCCCGAACATTATCTAAACCGTATGTTTATTAAGAACTTATCGAATAAGAAACCAGTACTTTTTGTCACAATCTATTTAAACGCAATAACAAGACCATAAAGACATCGCTATCTAGACCTCAGTCAATTTTGTGTTCTACGGCTGAGTACAGGTCTCACACAGAAAGGCGTTAGCATAATGTTATTGTCATTGAATAATCTGCGATGAGTTCCGTGGTTTTTATGCGATATTCGGAATCATCAATAGCCCGACTTCAGCCACTGCTGGGTATAGGCCTCCTGTATTTTGTGCCATTCACCGCGATCCTGTGCTAGTCTCACCCATCTATGACTTGCAACTTTGACGATATCGTCCACTCATCTCACTACAGGTTGTTGCTTTACTCCATTTGTCTTGACCGCGTCTCGCAATACGTTCTGCCCAGCTTCATTTTAAGTTCGTTATTCGAACTCCTTCCTCATGGACCTTCGTTCTTGTTACAACTAAATATAACTTATTTGTTATAAAAACAAAGAGTAAGTTAAAAAGCAAAGCTCTAAATAATCCGGACTGAATGTTGGATTGAAGTTATTGCATGTTACACGTAAGCCCAATTACCGTGATATTGTTATAAACACATGCGCCCGCGCACATGCACCTTTGCCCCTGTGTAAACGATAGAGATCGCATCATCATCATGAAGTGCTGCTTGGTGAGCCCATTTTGCTCTATACACTTACTAGACAATTAATAATTTTCACGAAATCATAATATGTCTTGTGTTGACGTATGAAACAAGAGATGTTAGTCATGATTTGTTGTTTTATATTAATTTTTAGAACAAAATATTATCTGTACTGTACTGCATGTACATCCTTTGTATACGTCCAGCTGCTGGGTCCAAGGTCTCCTCTAAAAAGAGAGTTAGTTCACGTTTACCTAATACGGAGTAAGAACTTCATATGTCTGTGTTGAAAATAATGTTCATCTAATCAGTTGTGTACATAAAAAACGTTCGTTAATTATTAATTGATATTACTATTAAAAAAATATAAATATGAATCAAAAACTGCCTACAGTTAAGTTCCCTTATTTGCCACTGCAGGTACTGGCTTCCTTGCTTATAGCTTGCTGGGGGAAAGATCTAGTTGCCCAAGATTCATACATTTGGCCCGTAGAGATGTTTCCCAGGGGGAAAGAGTACCAAGACGCCGAGCGGGTGAACGAGTACTACGCGCCAGAACATGATGTTTATTACGACAGCCGAATAGGCAGACATGGCCTCGGATTCGAAAAGAGATACGCAAGAGCCTCAGGTCTCCGCATGCCCATCACTGAGGATAGCATCCAGCATGTTGGCTACAGACTACTCAAGAAGGAAGACATTTACACGCCTCTATAATTACAACTATAAATCTTAGCATGAGGCACATTTATTTTACTTATATTTATTTTACGCCCAATTGAAATTTTATTTTGGTTGTATTTGTCTACAGTTTGTATTATGGACACTGATATAAATATTTAATACCTATTTAACGTTACGTCGTTGGCATAAAGGAAGACACGCAGGAAAATTGCTTATGTGTGGCTGTTCGCACTGCGCAGAGCGGGAAATCTTTAATTTAAATTTGATATTCGTTAACGATTATTACCAGTTCCAAGATTCTTACCACGCTGTGACTTTGACTCAACCCGTGACCTCGCATCGGGAGAAGAATAAAAAGCGATTCAGAAACCTGGCATTTGTCGTCGTCGGTCAGTAAATTATTTTGGAACTCTAAAGATCAATGTTGGTATTAACTTAATTTTCTAAACAAGCTTTTCAATTAGCAGGTAAATGATTTCTGGAAACCAAATAAATTGTTATCCATTAAGATAATGTTGTATTCATTTGCGGTTTTTTCTAACTGCCTAAAATGAAGTGTGCTAAGTGCTTATAAAAGCAGAAGCCGAAATAAAACGACATTCATTGTGCGACCGCTCGGCACCAAAATGACGTTTCTGACCAAGGTGAGTTCTGAAACATAAATTAGAATCCCGAAGGAAATAGTGCGTATTTTGTGCATATGGCTCGTATATTTAACTTTAAATGGACAGTCCTGCGAGTAGGCTCACACAAAAAAAGTTTGATTCTATTTTGGTAGGAAATGAAACTATTTTTCCGGATTTAAATCGCGTATATTTGTTTTTTCAAACAAACCGACGGCGACGTTTCGGGCCCTTTACAGGTTCCATGGTCATGGTGACTGAAGTGGTACAGTCTTCAACCAGTTATGTCTAATATTAATGCAAATCACCCTATTTTTTTTCACTATAGTTACAATAGTTATTATTAAATACCTTATTTTTAATTTTACTAAGAAACATTCCAATTTACGCTACATTAAGTTTTACAAATTATTTTATTGAATGAATTTTTATTAAGTTCAATTTATTATTAATTAATAATAGAAATTAGAATAAACTAAAACATATTAATTAGTACTGCAGTCTTATGCCTGTGTGGGATTTTTCATTAGAGGAAATACTGGATCCCAAACTGGTGGCACGGAGAAACCATCTTCCCTGTTGAAATTAGGATGTTTTTTTAATTTCAATGGCCTCTCGCACCATCCTGGGTAGATAACGGACTTCTTTTGCAAGGACCTGGGGTTTGTCAAACTTCATTGAATGTGTAGGTTTATCCATGATATGCTCGCAGACTGCAGACTTGTTGAAATCCGGAAAAATAGTTTCATTTCCTATGTGTAACAATCGCGAAAACCTAAGAACTCTATTTTGGTAATCTAGTAATTTTCACAGCCATTGCCCCAAGCATTCTTTTAATTAAAAAAAAAATATTTGTGTACTCCATTTTAGAAGAACTGTGTTTTATCATCGTCAACTCGATATACGTGTTGCGCACCTCTAACTAGAGGGTCTCACGTCACTTCATCACGTTCACAAATGCACGTAACTTAGACATTAAAGTCGGAGGTACGTGCTACCACAGACATTCAATGTCTCCATCGAGAAGCAATTGTTCTCCCACCAGACTATCATCACTTTTTTCTTGACTAATATAAAAAAATATTTCAGACATTGGTTGTGTGCCTGTCGCTGATATGCATATCGCAGGCGCTAAGCCACTATCACCCTGGCGTGGGCATGGGCATGGGCATGGGACAGCCAGGCATGGGCATGGGACAGCCAGGCATGGGCATGGGACAGCTAGGCATGGGCATGGGACAGCCAGGCATGGGCATGGGCTGGATGGGAATTCCGTACCCGTACGGCATGTTCAGCGAAGACGCTGAAGGGAGTCCCTCAGCGTCACCTCAAGGGGGCGCTATGGAGGAAGTCTACCAGCCGGAAGGTGCGGAGGTCCACGATCCTCAAATACCGCAGCGTCGTCTCGAAGAAGATAAAAATCCAGAGACCGAGGGTTGAACGACGTTTCTTCTGAAACTACAATTGCAGTAATAAAATTCACAGTGCCTACTTGTTAGTGCTATTCTTGGTTGTTTGTTTCATTTTTATGTGCATTAATTATAGTTATATCTACGTCCTTAGAACCGACTCTGCGCTTATAGTATTTTATGCATTCTTTACATAACTTTGTTTTTAGTTTATATTAATGATTTACCTAGCCTTATGGAGGGTATAAAACATGAGATAGTATTGTTTGCTGATGATACTTCCTTATTATTTAAAGTTAAAAGGCACCAATGTTCCTATGACGATGTGAACAATGCTATATCTAAAGTAGTTGATTGGTTTGCTGTTAATAACCTACTTCTTAATGAGAAAAAAACAAATTGTGTGAAATTTACATTACCCAATGTTAGAGAGACGGTTACAAACATTGTAGTTAGAAACGAAAAATTGAATCTTGTGGATACAGTTGTATTTCTAGGTATAACGTTAGATGCTAAATTGCAATGGGGTCCCCATATAGGTAAGTTGTCAAAACGGCTCAGCTCTGCAGTGTACGCGATTAAAAAAATAAGGAAACTTTCAGACGTCGAAACCGCTAGATTGGTTTACTTCAGCTACTTTCACAGTCTAATGACATACGGCATTTTGCTTTGGGGTAATGCCGCCGATATCAATAGAATCTTTGTCCTGCAGAAACGTGCAGTTAGGGCAATTTACAATCTGGGCCCCAAAGTATCTTTGAGAGATAAGTTTAAGGAAATTAACATTCTTACACTAGCCTCAGAATACATTTATGAAAATATAATTTATGTTAAAAGGAATAGTAATTTCTTTATGAAAAATAGTGACAGACATAACATTAATACGAGGAATAAAAATAAACTAGCTTTTCTTGATAGTCGTCTTCACAAAGTCAAACAATCATTTAAGGGGCAATGTATACGCTTCTATAACAAGATTCCGGTTGATATACAAAATTTGCCTTTCACGAGGTTTAAAACTATAGTGAAACAAAAACTTTATACTAAAGGTTATTATACAACTTCTGCGTACTTGGATGACAAAAATCCGTGGTAGTAACCCGTTTAGCTCATGGAGGTAGTCTCGATCTCTGATGTTTCAAATAAAAAAAAAAATATTGTAAATGTTATTTACAAAGAGCAACCCCTAGAGTTTCTTGCTCATTCTTCTCAGGGGAATCTGCCTTACGAATGAGCGGTAGAGTTTAACCATTGTGACGATTTCAAGTGTAATAATGCTTACCTATGAAATAAAGATTATTTTGAATTTGAATTTGAATTTGAGGGTTCTTAGAGTTGAGTACCACGTGGCTTTGCCGAGCGGCCTGAGTAATACGTACAAGATTTTAAGACCTAATTAAGCAATGATTGCATACAATACCTTTTCTACGAGCAAATAAAATAGTAAAACACAAGCAATATTTTAATGTATATTTTGTTAACAATCCATGCCAACAAACTCGAACGACAGCCAAAGAAACGCTACAAAACAACTATAAAACAAAAAACCAAAGGGATGGAATAAAATACGCCAAGTACCGCTAATATTTAATTTTTTTCATCCTTTATGATTTTAACCAATATTTTTTTAGAAAGGTTTATGGCCCGGTTGCAAGACTTTTAGGCCAATTTAACCAATCAGGAGGCAAAAAGCGTTTGAGTAGTTGCGCGTAATTCTTCGACACTCGTAATCCCCTCCGCGCAAAGCTAGGGGGTTGATGTGGCTCGCTTCCGTAGGTTTACCCTCGAGACAATACGAGTGACCCCCGGTTGGTGCTAAAGAGCAACAACTACTGATGGTAGGCTTCGGCCGCGGCTAATCACCACCCTACCGACGCAGTCGAGTCGTCAAATGGTTTTTACCGTGTTCCGACTCGTATTTGGGGCTTGCCATTAGCAGGTCGGGCCTGAAAATCCGAAGCATGGTGCACCGCTGGCCGACTGTGGGAAGTTGGGGGCCCAAGTAGCGGGGAAGCCACCCGTGAAACCTTTCAGCTTTTTTTTATGTTGTAATTATATAAATAAACCATAAATGTAGATAGATTAATTAATAAGTGATTGTAATACTGTGTACACAACGAAATAAGACAAAAATAAATTTAAAGTATTACGTGCTTTGTTTAATCCAAACGAAAACGTTTGGATTAAATCTGTACTTAGTTATTTTTTACTTTGTAGTGTAGTGACTTTTTGTGGTTTTTGAAATCGGTTGAACTTTTTTTTTCAAATAAAACGTTCTGGTGTATGTACCCAGTGGTTCATATGAACGTTGTCATCATAATTCGACCTTTATAATGTATGTATATATCCTTAAATTTGAGGAAGTTGAGACACTTCGCCGATGCATATAATAATATTTTCTCAACAGTACACTCACGCTCTCTTATACACTTACATTGTAAGTTAAAACATTAAATATTAATCACAATATACACAATAAATTACATTGCACTAGCGGCATAGACACAGTATTCATACAATACATTCAAAAAAATTATATGTCTGTAACACGTTATTGAGAATCAGAAATGTTTACACGACTATTAAGATTAAGTATAAAACATTACGAAGCTATGGTTATAGATGCTATCGCAGGCAATGCTATGTTTAGAAGGGGGTCTTATTACTGTTATTGCAGACAATGGAATGTCGAGCTCGCATCCCAAAGTCGTCTGCATATTCAGGAAGACGCTGAAATTCCTGAATTCCTGCACCCATCCCACTCAACATAGACGCCACGACGTCGAGCTGCGGACGCCAGCATTTCTTTTATAATATCAAGTGACTGAACGAACAAGTCGTGAGCCTGATGGTGAGCTACACGCTTGTGCCACTCAGAGCTTTAAATCGCAAATATGTGAGGGGCTCTGATCTTGAGACATAAGTTGACAAGTCCCATGTGCCTGTAATTTCACCAGCACTTTTACGCTCAGAATACAAAACATTAGGCAGATGAAGCCACTCACGCAAATACAAATTCAAAAGCGAATACAATCTCGCGTCAGTACTAGACCTGTGTCGGTAGATTATTTTTGATAACCCGGATCGATCCCATGACCCATGACCCAAGCGTAGTGTGGACGGGTGACCCGCTAAAATATCCCGCTAAATTCATGATACTTCCACATGGCGTTTAAAAGTGTCAAATTATTCAATTAGCTTTTATTCTTTTCTGCTGATAGGCAATGTATCTATAGTTAAATGCATCACTAATAAACCATACTTAGGACACTAAAATTTCTTTTTAGGAAAAGTAACGGTGTTACAAAACAAAAAACTTATGAACATTTAAAATTACTAATTTATTATTCATTAATATTTTAATAATAGCCAGTGCACTCTGCACACAACATACCGAAAAACAGATTAAACTTACAAAATTACCACGTAATGGACACTACGCCACGGAGCAATTAGGATGAATGATTGATTAGACTCATTGATCCGCTAATCGATCGATTTCTCGACCTTTTAGTTCGATCTAACGAAGGTTCTACCGAACGAGTACTCTATCGAACAAATGTTCGACCCAAATGAAGAATGAGAAAGCGAATCGTGTCGTGAGTGGTGATTTCACGTGAGAGTGAACGAGACAACAATAACATTGTGAATTGTTGAATAATCTTGAAAATTATAGTGACAAATGAATATTGCGCGCATGACCCATGAAACTCTAAGGTCACACATGCTGTTGGAATCATTTTGATTCGATCCAACTCGATCGACACATATCTAGTCAGTACTAAGCACAGCGTCGTACTGTTTGTTCGTCACGAGTGATTCGTTATTTTATGTTTAAAAATGCTATCTCGTGTCTTTAACCATTGTTGTTCCCAAAAACAAAAAAATAGGATGGAATATCTTTTCACAGGGAAATAATATTGATTATTTAACTGTTTTGTCATTTATTTACTCGATATTTTTTGAGATTCACAAGGAACTCAAAACCTCGACATAAATTCGTATATGTTGCCAGTTTATATCGAAATGAGTTGCCTTAAATTAGGTAAATATGCATAGGTGATACTTTTGTATAGGAATTAAATAATGCATGCATACACATACAGGATGGTAAATTTACAGCGTTCCAAAATTGTTTTTTAGGTAACTCAGATTTACCTAAATTGTTCTCAAACCATGGTACACTAAAAGGAAATGTTCAAAAACAGTTAAAATGTTAGCCCTATAGATATAAAGAACTTTCATTGTTATGTGCACGTGTCATAAATGTAAACAGAGCGATTTTGAAAGAAAACGTGTCAATAAAATCAAAAATTGATTACTATGTACATTGTACTATAATAAATAATTTTTTATAGTACAATATACGTAACTTCACAGGTTCTTAAGAATTTCATTTGGGAACAAAACAATTTTTGTCAAATTAAAAGATGATCGTCAATGCTATGGAATTGATAACAAGGTAATTTAATAAAAACATTAATAGAAAAGTATTTGATGGTGAGATTGCGGTACATATCAAAATTAGAAACAAATGCTCGATGTGTAGACGCAAAGTGGTAGTAATTTAGAAAATGTGTACAAAATAAAGGATGTTAAGAACGGTGATTGTAATAAATATTTTGATAAGTTATTCAATTTTAAACCATCTTAATAAAACATTTTTCCTTTGTATGATGTGAATCAAATAAATATTAACTTATATTGCATATAATTTGTTTGATATCCTAATATTACATAAGTTTTATAATTACAACAACAACAAGTACAATTTTATAAGTACAACAGAAAAAAATGCGGGAGTACGCTGCATCTGGCAATCTTACACGCACACAAATGCGCAAGTCGAGATTCGCTCTGGGCCTTTTGGAGGGAAAAGTGTCATTTTTATTTTGACTTTCAATTATTTTGTGAAATCTAGTTTAAAGTGGAATAGGATAGTGCTATCGTGCCTTAATCGAAGATTAAAACGCGAAATTATACGAATCTCGAACTAAAATACCCGTATCGGCCCGTTTTAAGGCATCCCGAGTCAATCCAAGCACGCCGCCTCAAATTGCCTATCCTCTTTGTGGCGGCCATATTTACAGATACATAATTAAACGAAGACATGGCTCAAAGGACTTGTATCCAAGCCAAAATTATTAATTAAAAAAAATGCGCATGTCCCTACAGTGACCAGGTTCCTAGCTGTCACGCACACAGTAAATGAAAAGTGGCTTCACATCGTTCGTTGCGTATGCTCCATCTGCATATTGTTTTGAAATCTGAGCTTTTAGCCTCCCAAACCGTAGCACAGTGCTTATGACAGTACTGCTTGGCGGCAGAAATAAGTAAGGTGGCAGTACTTTCCTGGACGAACTTTACTACAAGGATCTCTACTGCTATTAAAACCACCGTACCATACTGTTGTTGTCACATGAACCTGAACTTATAAGGTACCTGTGCGCGCACAGGTTATAGTGCCCTTCTCGTACGCCCTAAGGGTAGGTAGGCAGGGTCACTATAATCAAAACTAACGTAGAAAGATATGGGAGCTTGTTGTTGTCATATCTAAATCATTAAAACGATAAACTATTATTATTATAATATGTTATTCTAGTTTTAAATACACCGGAGTTATATAGTAATAGTCGTGAAAATTATAACATTATAAACGTTCTTTAAACACAAGATCGTTCTTTAATACATCTACAGAATGTTCAATGACTGTGTAATCAATTGTAGTGTTGCTGCTGCAATCCCTTTTAGGACAAGACAACGAGACTCACATCCCGAATCAAATTCGTATCCCCTTGTAAATAGCAACTGTACCATTTTTGAACTGTAACGTTCGAACGTTTCAAATTTATTAATTAATTTCTGCCATGTATCTCCCACTGCTGGGTGCAGGCCATTTTTACTCCTGCAAAAGTTTCCGGTTCTGTGCGTCTCTGGTCCAGGCTTTGCCCGAAACTATTGACCATTGTCATTGACCCAGCGCATCTTTAGACGGGTCGTCCAATTCTTCGGCCAGCACTCCGTTAAGGCTTTATTCCATTAGCCATCGCTACGTCTAACCAGGTGTCCTGCCCGACTCCAGTTAAAGTGTATAACAGGTCATCAACGTCTTGAACTTGCGTCTGACGTCGGATTTCCGTATTATCGAGGAGTGTGATGCTGAGCATGGTGCGCCCCATGGCCCTTGGTGCGATTTGGACTCGGTGCAGTTTCTTTAGCAAGAGTCCATGTTTCAGTCGGACACATTGGTTGAAGAGACGGGTCTTCAGGCACGTTTCGTACATGACGAAAAGTCCAATTTAATTATTTGACGAATTGACAATAACTTCAATTTATTAAGGAAGAATTCTGCTACATTGTATGTTTCTGTTTGTGGCCAACGCACCTGTTATATACTCATCATATTTGATTACGATTTCATACAGTAATGCTCGTAAGAAACCACAATTGATATGGACGACTTGTTCAAAACCATTAACACTAATTCATTGGCATTTAAAGGTATTACATATCAATCTGCCTAAATAGCAATATATTACTTCATAGTTTTATTTAATAGGTACTGTCTATTAGTTAGTAATTTTCCTCCCAGTCATTTCGATACGCTGTTGTTATAAATTAAACTTGTTAATTGATGAACCAGCACTACAGTCTTTGCTCCCTTGTCGACATGGCGTGGTTCACTCAGGTAAAAACAGTAGTCACCAGAAAATCAGTCCATTTTTAATATTCAATTATGTAGTAGCAGCCTGGTGACAGATTTCGTCCAGGGAAGTACCTTACCTACAGATGTCAGATGACGGGCGCAGTGGCAGTGTCCTTCACATCGTTGCGATTTAAAGCTCTAAGTGTCACTGCAACTATTATGAATAGACGTGTCACTTACCACCAGTCGCACACCTCGTTCGTCCCGTCATTTGATATTATAAAAAAAATATCAATGTATCTTAGAAAGGATAGAATTCGTATAATTTTGTTTTTGTGTTTGTTGAATATTTTATTTATACTCTTTGCCAAAAAAAAATTTCTTCACATTTCAGATTTTAATAGCGAGCTTGTGCTTTGCGGCGGTCCAATGTTCATGGCAAGACTCGTTAAACGAAGGCGCCTCCAAAATGGGAGAGTTCTTGGGCCAAATGGGCAAAATTATAATGCCCGGTATTCCTGGCCTTACCGCCGACAGTTCAGGAGGAGCTGGAAATGTGAACTCGGGGGGATCTGGGCCAACAGCAGGCGGGATGTGACCTGGAGGAATAGGAGATGGCACAATCCCTGAAGGTTGCAGAGGCGTTAGCGGAAGCGAAGGCCAAAGTCAAATAAGATGTTTATAAAATATCAATGCCCGAATTACTTACTCTATCTATCATCGAATTTTTATCAAAATAAAATAAATAGTATTTGTAACTCTGTATTCATTATGTATCTGGTTTTATAGAGGCGGGCCCAATTGTCATTACACCGAATTTGGTCCCTTGCTTGGGCATGGGAGCAAGGAGCGGACTCCGCCCCGCCGCTCTCATGCACCTTGAATTGCCCTTCATATGCAACAACCCAATACGAAAACGATTTTGTTTTACATAAGGTCTTATCTTTATAATACGTAATAAAAAGCACATAGAAATACCACCACTCTAGTCTAGACAGCTTCGACTCAGCTGCAGCAAAAGCAAAAAAGAAAGGTAATGATTTACTGAAATGCACGAACTGGAGTTGTTGGCAAACGGGCTAACCTGCACTTCACTGCATTTCTATTTCAATGAACAAGGTTTAAAGGCTTTAATTACTAAGATACTTAACGTATGCATTGAAGTTTTGATAATGTACAGCTGTCTGGTTTGATGAACCTGTAGTTTGATATAAATTAAGCAACAAGTGTTTTTATGTCGTGGACTATATAATCTCGTTTGAAATCAGCTTGTTTTGTTAGTTACTAGTTTACTTAATCGTAAGTCAGTTTGTTCTGAAAAAAAAAAACACGTTAGAAATAGTAGTAGCATTTATTTGGCATCGTAAACATTCATAAGAAACGGATCCGCAGCGTATGCTTCCATTCCTATATGCATTCGTTTTGTAGTGTCTCCGATTTGAGTTTAAAGATACTTTTGACCTGACCTCAATCTTGGTCGATTCTCACCGTCACACTCGCGTTACATATAAATCTGTTCCGTCATTATGTAATTCATCCTCTCTACATGTTCGAAACACTTAAACAACCCTATCGCTTTCCTTGTTACAAAAACAGTAATTAATTTAAATTTGTTTGCATATACTGTTGCAAAATCTTCAAAATTTCAGGCCTAAGAGTATTGTACAATGATTAGTTATCCCCTAACACAAGGTTACGACTGTAATGTCGCGACCGACCTTTATACGATTATGATTACGATATATATTTATTATATTTTATGTAAAGCAAGTTTTAGTGCGTTTTTGGTGCTAGTACTGTGCTCCAATTTAACTGGTATGTAGAAATTAAAATACATAAATTACCACGTATATATTCAGTAAAGTGCTTCACTAAAATACATATCGAGTACTGTCGTGATCACATATTATAAACTCAACGTTAAGCAGTTAAACTGCCGTATACTACGGAAGTGTAGGTATTAATTGAATAATGTCAGTGGAATGTTGTATCAATGTTTCATGTACGCAGTAGAAAAAAAACAAAACACTATGACAAAGAGACGGAATATTAATGTCATTAATGACAATAGGTACTTACCCATAACTTAATGATTATATTAATTAAAAGGCAATTAATTGCTCCCACGTGACGATTCCGGGTAGTATAATTTGGAGCCGATGGACTTCCCAAAATTTTGTTACTTTTAAAGCAGATTATTCCTAATTGCCTGCTCAGTTTTTGATTCGACATGGGGCTACTGACACAGGTGACTATTTTCATTTTTATTATTGATTAACCTCAACAAACTTCACATTATTTAAACTCTGTTGAGCGATCAGCGCGATTGGGCGCGCCCTCAAACTTTCCGCAGCACACTAATGTCTAAATATTCTCCTTATTATTTATTTGATTAAATAATCCGTTTACATCTTATAGTTATAATCAGTTTATAGGTTTTAACTTAGAACGATTAAACCAATGGACGTAGCCCTTATCTACCTAATTCGCAAACCGAGAAACTGCATATAGTTTGACGTTTTAAAGGTTTAGTCAGACGTCATGTCTATACATTTATAATGTTTTCATTATTTTCTGAGAAATTTTCACCAGTTTCAGTGTTTAAATTGAATCGATCTAGGTTACAACCTGTAAATGTAAGTTTATTTCTATCGTGTCTTTAGAAAATTTTCGTTAGAAACGAGCACTGCAAACATCAAGAATACAAGATACATCGGCTTATAGATTTTGAAATTAATGAAAAAAGTCTGTGACGTAGCGTACCAATTTTTCGCAGTGAAATTATTGCAATTACTAAACTACCACTGTTTGTAATGGATATAAAACAATAACATTTATTTTCAGATAATTATCCTGTGCTTTTGCACTTTTATATCCGAAAGCCAAGTATTGGAAACCAATGATGAATACAACAGAAACCCTGTAAGACTGCCCCGACGTTACTCGCTGTTCTCTGGAATGTTCACACCACATTATCCTGGCGACTTTGACTATGACAATTTTTATGACAATTTCTTCGGATGGCATAAATCAAAACCAAATAATGATCAACATCACCATTATCATTACAATGATCACAAACCTACAACTGAAGCAACTACTACAGAACAGTTCACCGATAGCACTACTAGTACTAAGGTTCCCGAACCATTCCCCCAGTCGCCTGAAGAAGATACCATCAAAAATAATAATGAATCTCGTAAAAAAGAAATTGATGCAAGTTCCGAGGAAAATGCAAAAATAATTGACGAAACATCAATAAGAGATGAGAATCACGAAGACAATGAGAAACCAGAAGCAAGTGACGCGAGTGATAAGCTTTCTAAAAGCACAGATCATGTTGTTGTTCCCTTAAATACAGGACAGTTGGACACTATTGCTCTACCTGTTGGTAATATGATTGTGCCTGCAATCAGCATTCAACCTTTGAATCAGGTGTCACCTGCTTTCAATCCAGTAGCGTCAAATAATCCTGCGAGTAATGGTTATTCAGCGCCTAGTCTAGTCGTTCACAACAACGAGGCTGCAAATGCCAACGACGATTTTCGCCGTTCAGAGCCTCAAGCTGTTCCTTTAACTATTCTTCAAAATCCAGTCAACAATAATGAACAACCTAATGCTTACAACTATGCAACTATATCCAATAATGCTATTTTAAATAATATACCAAATTCATATTACTTAGTAAGCAACACTCAAGGTTTACCCCTTAACAATGGTCTTCAGACACAGACATCTTCGCAAATTTATACACTGGTACCCATTAATAATTTAGGTAGCAATGTTATCACCAACCAACCAGCCAACTTTGTTAACCAACAGTTACATATCAATCAGCCGAATAATTACGTACCATTGATGAGCCAACCTAATTACGTGACTTTGAGCAGTCAATCGACCGATTTTATTCCTTTAAACAACCAAGGGAACCAATATGTTAGCAACCAACCAAATAATTTAGTCCGTTTCAACCTGCCCAACAATGTGATTGCTGTTAACAATAATCAGCGTAATAATATGTTAACTGTGAGCAATCAGCCGAATAATTTTGTTGTTTTGAATAACCAACCAAATAATATGGTTGCGGTTAATAATAATCAGCCTAATAAGCTGGTTGCTCTGAACTCTGCTGGTAATATACCATTTATTGTGCAATCACAACTTGAACCAAATATTGTGCTGTATTCGCTGAAAGATAAAGAGGAAAATTCCGACAAAAAAGAAGAGGAAACGGAAAAGAAAATTAGTGATAATGACGAGACTTATCCGAGAGAGGAATCTATAGAGGTAGTTGATGCTTAATTTATCAATTTACTATTTAATTTATTTATATTAATAAATAAACAGATATTTTTGTTTATACGAACCCCAATCAATGTGTGCATTGAATGTTTAAGTTTACGTAATAAAACTTAAACGAAGATAATGGAAAAATATGCAAACCGGAATAAAAGTTTCTATCTATAATATCCAAAATTCTATCAAAATTTTCACCAGGAACGTTCTACGTTCTACTATGTTCATATCATATCCGGCATACGACTGCGCGGTCATATCACATTCGAAAACGGTAGAAATAAAAGCTTCGAAAAGAAAATTATAAATTAGTTTACTGAAAATATGAATATTACTGCGTTATTTATTTGACAACCGAAAACTTTTGTGAAAATAAAAATACGGAAACAATCGAATGAAATACGGAAGTGATTAAAAAAATCTTGCTGACGCAGTGCTACTCTGCCAACTTCATTTATATTTTACTGAAAACTATTGTTAACCATTTTTATCGTAAATCACCATGTACATTTAAAAGCGACCTTGTAAATTTCATAAACTTTGGTGCTTGTCACATCGTACAGAAATATTATTATGAGTGATAACATGAGAACTCCTAACAGATATCAAAACATACTTCTAATCAATTATTATTGTATTGAAAAAAAATAAATTATTATTCGAACCATTTATTCATATATAGTGTATGTATTGTGTACATATAGATGGATTGTAGTATGGCTATTATATTACAATATTTGTATGTAAGTATATTTAATAACGTGTTATAATTACTTAATCGTTGACTGGTAAAGAATGTCTAATGGCATTAAGTCCGTCTTTTGTACTATTTTGTGTGCAGTAAAGTTTAAATAAATAAATTTAAAAAATTAAAAGTGATATAATGTGATATAATGGACCCCTCCATTAGTGCTTGGGAAATGAGAAGAGGTGAAGGAAATGAATGTCTGTCCAGAAAGACTAACTACGAAAACTTAGGCTTAGACTTCTAACCTATATCGATCATATTTGTTTCTATCCAAAAAGACTTCCCCGTTTATATACAATTTTGAAAGTGATAACTCGATAAAAAATTGACAAAGTGGCGTCGCGTTTCAAAATGGATTCAAAGTCGCGCGAGGTCGCCGATGCGTATTCATTTTCACTAAATTTAGAGTCAAAAACTAAATCTATAACCAATAACATAAACTAAGTTGGTTCGTACAGTGTGGTAAAAACGTTTTTATAGAAGTATATGTATTTTTTGTTAGTATTTTTTTCGAAAGTACAGTTGTTTCTTTTGCGTAGAATTGTAATTTCAAAAAGCGTCCGTCTGTTTTGCTAAATGTGATATTGATTATTTTTTCCGAATGTTCTGTGTTTATTTTTCAGTAACTCATTTTGACGCAGCTTTGTTAGTGTTACAGTTAGTTTTACTTCTATGTGGCTAATTTGTTTTTCGGAACCTTTGATAATTTTCTTTTAAAAATTGTTAGAAGTACTTTATGTATAAAAAGTACATACTTAGAGGGAACACGTCAATATGTGTAAGGTGTTTGATTTTGAAAGTGAAGCCGGTAATGGTCTCGTTGACAATTTCAAGAGAGAGTACTCCCCTCGAGTGCTCAGCTACTCCATTAACGCTGCCCGTGTCACATTACGTTATTCAGAGCATAAGGAGAATATCTTATAAATACAACATTAGCTAGTAAGATCGAATATGGAACGTTCCAAGACGATAAACATCACAGCCATGTACACCTGTTGGAACACCATCATTACTTAGGTTCTTTATTCTTGTACATCAGCAACAGCGTCGTCAACGCGTTATTGGTTTCACTGCTGAGCTAGGATTTAAGGAGATTTAGACATTATTCCACCACTCAGGCACAATGCGGGCTAGAGAGACACGTTTCCTAAACTTTATAAACTTAAAGAGGTGTAGAGTTGAATTTGTCTCAAGTGTTAAGTTTCATGTGCTCTAAATCGTTTTCGAACCGTTCTCCTACTGGGTCACCACCGCTCTTTTAATCCTTATAAACAAAATACTCTTATAATCCTTGTAAGAATTTGCAGAGCGTATACATAGTGAAGTTTCCAACCGTGTGGGTTGGCGCCATCCGATTCCTAGTTTCGCGGATCGGATGACATGTTATAAGTTCTAAATATATAGCCCATTTGATACTTCGTCGCGACGGAGCCCGACATTAGTCCCCGGCGTGTTCCGCATCGTGCTCATGTTCCGCTGATTTCCCGTGGGTTACACAATGTAGCCTGATGTAAATTCGGGAATGGTATAATGTTCCGAGTACACCGTATACTCAGCCACAGATATACCATATTTTTAACACTATAACGTTCGATCTTCCGTTTATAATTCTCAACAGAGAGAGGTTTTTAGAGTCGCTTACATGTGTCAGAAGTTGATTACACCAATGTTTTAAGGGGTTACTTACCACAAGCTAGAAATATGGTTTACTTTATTTTGTTTCTCCGAAAGCCTTTCGGCTTTTATTGAATAGATTTTGTTTTATTTTTCAAAAACACAGAAAACTCATTACAAGATTTTTTTTCAGTCAACCGTGACCATGGGAGCTGTAAAGGGCCCGAAACGTCGGTTTGTTCGAAAAAGCAAATATACGGGATTTAAATCCGGAAAAATAGTTTCATTTCCTATGTGTAACAGTCGCGAAAACCTAAGGACTCGATAAGATTTTTTTCATTAGACCATGTTGCTTCAATATTTTAGCACATTGCGAAGTTATTCGTTTCCCGATTCTCAACTCCGCCTTACATGTGCCCTGGGATTGTACTTTTGGATTCATTTGCTATGTCTGTATTATTTTATCTAAGAATAATAATTTTGTTGAAACGAATATTCAGCAATTATATGAACATGAATTGACCAAAGTTCTAATAATAGTTTTTCGGATAAACGATACTTCTGCTGTAAGTTATTTGTTTTACCAATGTAGGTATACCAAAACAGTTGTCGCACGAATGAATAATGAGATTTCGGAAAAAAGAAGTTCGTTTTTGTGATAGGTTAACGTTCCTGTTTTTTAACTATTTTAGGGAAAATCCGTCATGGATATCACTGCGTCACGGGGAGGCGCGGTTGTTATGTGAGACTCTTACTCACAAAAACATATCTACACTAAAAACCTCCGGGTATTCCTATACCCCGCATAAGACGAGGCTGTGGCCACGTGGGTGACAAAAGCCCCTGTTTTTACCATTCAAGAGGTTAACGTTTCTAAGTTAGCCTCAAGTCATTAATACATCCATGTTTATCTGCGACAGCATTACCGTTATCCAGGAAAGGATTCCGAATTGATTCTACGAAGTAAAAGAAACAATTAGATTTGATAAAACTTTATTACATAATAATTCTTTTCGATTTAAACAAATCAACCATGAACTTATGACTGAAGGACTGCAGTGCTGATTGCGTGATGAAATCATGACGTGTAAGTATTTGGTTGGAAAATTAACTAGAAATAAAATTAAGTTCGATAATTACAAGTGTATTTATTTAGGTAGCTTCAAGCCAAGAAATAGTCGTGTTTATTTGAATTCGCAATAAAACTAAAAGCTCTTTAGGATTTTTAGCTGTCATCAATTTACAGACTCTTTTTCAGTCATTAAGAAAGAACATTTAAAAATTCGACACGACGATATCTTCTCTTAAAATTACATTGAATAAAACTTTACGTTTACAAAACCAGTGACTGGATAAAATTTGATTTACAATATTTACAATCAATATTAATGTTTATATTTAAAAGCATTCGATTCCTATTCGTCTATCACAACATTTAAAGGCAATGTAACATTTGGACCATTCGCTTGCAACAGATAAACTTGAACTTACAAAATTGCGCTATGCTAAGCTTGGACAAGTTTTTTATAATTTATAATATCCTTAACGTTGACAGTTATTCATCCAAGCTCAATAGGCCCTACAACTGCCATTATCTGCCAGTTTAAACCAACTAGATAATTTTAAGGACTATGGTCCTTTTATATTAACGAGATATGATTTTCTTTGCAGGAAACTAAAGACTTATTGTTTCAAACAGTTGCTTGGACTTGGAGTATTAAATTGTTTGTTGACGTTAAGGGTTTAGTGGAATAATCCATTATTCCCCTAAATGACTGATGAGTAGGGACCCTGCACGTTATGCTAAAGTACCTATGTGAAAATGTTCTAATTCGAAATAAATAGTTACATTAATGTAGCAGGATAGAATACCGTCAACGAAATATTACACGTATTTATTGTTGAGGCACTTACTCAGTTATTTGCTGTAAATTTTATTACAATCGAAATTAAGTACCTACGAAAGTAAAAGGGATATCAAAGTTCGTACGTGCTATGAAACTAGAATTATGAACGCTCATTCAAATTTGAGTTTTACTTACAAAGACACGTTAAAATGGAATTGCACGAATTCTAAAACTAAGTACATTATACGTAGAAATACATATAAATAAAGCTAATTTGACAATAAAAATTGGTCATCACTTAATTGGTAGGGTGGTGTTAGACGTGGAGAGAATTGGAAAAACAAATAATGATTCACAATAACAAAACCTGAAAATGCGTATGATACATGATTTTCGATTTGAGATTGAGCAATTCAATTGAATTTAACAACACATAGTTATTTGCTAATAACAGATAAAACGCGAAGGAGGTGTGCAGCTATTTGAATATTGTTGAAAAAGTCAAAGAAGGTCCAATACATGTGGTTGAACACAAGGCACTGTATAATGGTGTTCTTAGACGATAACGCCTTAATAAAATAAAGAACTCTGATAGAATAACATTAGACCAACTCTATAACCGAAAGAAGAAGAGGAAAACTTGCCAAGTGCAGAAACATTTTTAATCTAGTAAAAAGGGCAAAATTTTTTATTTAAAATCACTTATGTACAATATCATAAACGACTTGACGACTAGTCGAGGAATGGAAAATATTAAAACGTTAATTTTATAAAATCTAACTATAGGCGAAAATATAAAAATATCATTTAGTGCATCACGCTAGAACTCACTTTATGTCACCAAGGTACGTTATTTATTCTACCTCACCTATTTTTTACTCTAATACTACGTAAATATTACACTTAAGTCAGACCTTTCCCTGCTGCTTAAAATTAAATTGACTTTTATAAAACAAACTTATCGGAGTTATCGACTAAAGAAATCGTCGCTTGATGACACCGACCACTAAATTTAAGTTATATTCTTTCAATTCCCAAAAGCTTTAATACATAAACCCTACTCCTTTTTACCAGTCCCTAAAATTAGAAGACAAAGTTTTTTGGAAATTTTAACAAACAGTACTTTTTATTTGGTTTGGCGTTTTCAAACCCCCGATGGATGATTCAAGTTTGACATCATTGTTTGTGTGTCTTCCTGGTGCTTGCGGTATAAAAGCTCTCGAATGGATGAACCAAAGTGATTCTTATCCAAAAAGATTCTTTACTGGTCATCAGTTTTGGTCTCAATTCGATTTCTGAAGGAATTTCAGGCACAACTAGCCACTTCGCAAACCGATTTCAACCGAAACGGATTTAAGTACAAATGCACTTAAATCGGTTTCGACAGCATTTACCGCTAGCAGCCACGACAAAAAAGTGTGCTAATACAGTTAAAAGCTTTTAAAATCATCTCAGAAAGTACTACATTATGTACATAAGAAGAATATAATTTAACGTTTTGAAAATCAACAATCAATTAAAAGCAATAAAATCAAATCATATTATTATCTGCCGTCCCCGATGTTATAATTTAATATTTTTTAATATTTTTTTTTGCAGCCCAGTTAATAGAAGCAATTACTTTTTAGTTTTCACGGCTGAATCGTATCCCCACTTAATTGTTTTTGTGCAGGAGTTAATTGAAATTTACAAAATATGGTGAAAAATAAACCCCCCAGAGGACAAACTATTTACTAAACGACAAACGGTCAAGTTCACATGAATATTTTTATACAACGACGTTCCCAGACTTTAGTCAATGGCTTGGCCATGCGAAAACTTGAATATCACCTTATGCACCAAATTGTATTTATAGCAAATCACTAACTATAAGAAATTTTACAAGTAAAGGTCAGATGCCTATCGATTGTACAGAGCAATCAGACATTGCCCGCTTCGAAAGCTGAAAGTCTTTGACCATGAAAGTTGTACGTAGAACACAGAAGTGATTAAGAACTACAAGGTCTCACTAGAAAATTGTCTAAAGTTAGCCAATGCTCCAACACATGCTTCATTACTTGCGCGCGTCGGCGATTGACGCGGTGAGACTGACAATGAGACGTGGCGTCCGAGAGATCAACCTACCTCTAATAGGCGTAAGCGGGCTTGTATAAGTATTAAATTTAGACAACGTTTTATAGTAAATACCACAGGTTCAGTTTCAAATCGCAGTGCGGGAAGCGGGCTTGGTCCGGACGCAGAGCAGCCAGGCCAAGCCCGGCTTGTCGTATCACCGCGCTGACGAGACTCGCTCCACCCCGTTCTCCTTATCTTTTTCTTTCAAGTCTATGCTCTGGTCGCGCGACTCTTGCACCGACTCCAGGTTGATGTCGAATGACGCTTGTCTGTTAAAATATATCAAACTTGTAAATTCTGCTTCATATGACGTCTCCTCTACAAATATTGTTTATGTTAACGAACCTTCCCCCTCAAGCGGTAAGGATTTTGAATTTAGCTTTGATTTTGCCAAAAAGTGTACATACAAATATGCAGGCTGTTCCACGGCTATGCCACACGGAAGGAAAGTACTTTAAATATTGTAGATTGGATGTTCTGCTTAATGAAGACATTATTTTATTTTCAAAAGATAGTTATACAGCGTTCAATGTTTTTGAAAAAGTTGCTTGCCTGACCTGCTTATGCCTGAGAATAAAAATCACCAAATGTGAAAAAAATACACTGCATTTTTATGATGCCAACAGAAAGGGTCAATTATATCACTTCAAAAATCTGTGTAAAATTTGTGCAAAATCTTTACTATGAATTATTCATATTGTATAGACTAAAGTAAATACATTATACAACACTAAAACCTATTTACAATCACAATTTACTACACTTTATTATGTATATTATTTCAACGCATAACTTTGCTCATAGTTATATTTTTGCTTACAAATAACTTAATCCGTCTCGTTGGTCCTGACCGAAAGCCAGCGCATTAGGAAACGTTGACATATGCTGAGTCAGCGCCCTTTCACAGCTACGACCATAATGTTATGTTTTCACTTTTGTGTTTAATCTGTATTTATGTCATATTAGTGAACAAAGTGTTCAGCTGTCTATCTATAAGTATTAATTCCTTTTGGTAACGTCATACATTTATCTTCACTTCATCAGGCTACAGTTTACGTTTGAGCTCACAAATTAATTTTCGTGCACCTTCCCAAACACCAATCTGTGTTACGCCAAAGCCGCACCAGCCGCAATGACGCAATGACGTAAAAAAACAGTGTTTTCTCCGCAACTTTTATCATCTACCCGCGCCTCTGAACCGCGATACGCAATTCGTGGCGGCGTTATTTGTGTCCCGTCCGCAAGTGTGGACGTCGAGCTTTGGACATCTGATCTGAAGGTTGGTGTTAGCACGGTCTCCCTTTCCTTTTACATGCGAGGTCACGTATCCTAGCTATTAAAGGCGAATCCAAAACTTTTTCAGATATAGCGTCACCACCTTTTAAATAAATAGTATGTTGAATTAAAGGGACACTGTGAATTTTATAAATCAGGAAAATTAATTACAACGCATTTTACTTTCGGTATTCATACTTCAAGATAGGGCTTCGATTCATAACATAAACAGCCAGTCTCTTAATGATCGTTTTCGAGACCCTCAGACCTGACACTCTTAGATTTCGATTTCTGGGTATTTGTGAAAGGTTTAATACACAAGAATTAATTTGACAATGTGCGAGTGAAGAACGGGATTCGGGTATTGTTTCGAAAATTTACCATAATAAGATAAAAAATATCTACCAAAGATTTTGAATTTGCCTACACGAAGACGGATCGTATTTTGATAATTTCACAAATGATCCGTTATTTGATAAATACCGTCTCAGATACTTTTAACTAACTAACATTTGAAAACCGGAATAAACGCGTTTACATTCGAATAGGTATTTTTTTAATTTAAGATTTTACGTTTACGTAAATGGAGTTAATCCCTATAATGATTAAGCTCCGCTGCATACGCAGTCCGCAGAATACGTGAGCTTACCGATGTTAGTACTGCTAGACTAGTTTACTTTAGTTACTTCCATAGTATAATGTCCTACGGGATTCTCATGTGGGGTAAAGCGGCAGATATTCAAACCATATTTGTATTGCAAAAACGAGCGATTCGTTCTGTGTACCGTCTAGGCTCTCGGGTATCTCTCAGAGAAAAATTTAAGGAGACTGGTATCATGACTGTGGCATCGCAGTACATTTACTCAAATATTTTATATGCCCGTAAAAATATACATAATTTCAATAAGAAAGAAGATATCCATAACATTAACCTTAGAGCTAAGTCCAAACTCATGGTACCACGATTTCGTTTAACCAAGGTAAACAACTCTTTTATGGGGAACTGTATACGTTTTTACAATAAGATTCCGGAGCATATATTAAGTTTATCATTTCCTAAGTTTAAAAACTACATTAAAAATATGTTGATCGAAAAATCATATTACAAAATTGAAGACTACGTGTTAGATAAAGATATATGGAAAGACGACATGGCTCCAGAATCCACACAAATTTGATTCAAAGTGTATTCCATAGCATTTAAGTTTATTTGAAAAGAGCAATCCCTAGAGTTTCTTGCTCGTTCTTCTCAGGGAGGTCAGCGTAGTGAACGAGCAGTAGCTTAAATGTGACGTTTTCAAGTGTAAATTTATTTTACCTATGGAATAAATAATCTTTGACTTTGACTTTGAATGGATTCTTTCGACGGGCATCGCAATAATACAACTGTATTCTTTTTAACATTCGGCGGGTTCGACTCCCGGCCGAGGCGAGCGGTAGTCAGGTCCTTATTTATTATTGAAAACGGAAGAATGTCTTCTTCGAGCCAAGTATCCCGTGTACTGTACAATGCACATCGCCGCCCCGTGCGGCGGCCGAGGCGCCGCGAGCCGCGGCCTCACCTGTCGCCGAGGCAGTTGCCGGGCGCGGAGAGCGAGCGGCCGGCGCGCGCCAGCCCCCCGCGCCGCGCGCCGCCCGCGCCCTTGTCCGCGGGCTCGCGCCGCGCCGTGCTGCCCTCGCGGCTGCGCAGGAACGGGTTCTGCCAACAGCGCACGCGCCTTTACCGCCGGCTCGGGGCACCGACCCGATCGGACGCGGTCCAGGGCAGCCCCGCCGCGAGCGTCGGTCCGTTGAATGACCGTTCGTTTCGTTGCCCTCTCGTTTTAGAAAAAAACTGATTCCGAAAAATTCCACCTTTTTTTTAACCGAGCATAATGTAATATGAACTTGGGCCTAAGTATCGAACGACGAACGAGCGAATCGAAATCGTCAAAAGGAAAAGGTCAGAAGAAACCGGAAAGGAATTGTAGAGAACATTTGCGAGTACCTGGAAGCTATGTTTCTTGAGCATGGTCTTGATGAGTATGAGGGTGGAAAGGTTCGGTATGGACGTGACGACTTGCGCCATGTCCTCGTCCGTCACTTCCACCAGCCGACAGTTCTCCTGCTCCGACGGCAGCGGGTCGGTACCGCCTGCCGTTACCCATTCGTGCTCCTGCAACAAGTTGCCGGGTTTGATAATTTTTTTATATTAGAAGCGTTTGAGCCAGAGTCTCGGATAAGTAATATTCTAGAGGTAGTACTGTAAATTTGCCAGCTTCTGTGCCTATGAACTTTTTCCGGGAAACCAAAAAAATGAAGGCTAACCTTAATTTCCTGCATAGTAGCCCTGGTGCTAGGGTCCTTGTCGAGCATTCTTCCCAGTAAGTGTTTTACACTACGAGAGATCACAGGCTTTGCGGGGTATAGCAGTGGCTCATTCTGTACTTTCCGCTGCAGGTCGGCGGGCGAGCTCGCCGTCCACGGCACTCGACCCGTCAACATCGCGTACAGAGTCACGCCCAAAGACCAGATATCTGCAGGCTGGAGGAAGACATGCTGTATTAGTTGACTATATTACATATTCGCCTTGGCTAATAAAAACTAAATGAATTTCATAGAGAAAGTTCGCAAATGGTTTACTGATATGAGAACATTCCGTAAACTATGCGCCATTCAATGGGAAGAGGTAAAATCAGGAAGAAGAAGGTAGAAGTCACGTCACGCCCGTGCGTGACGTGACTTCTGCCTTCTTCTTCCTTTAAGCCCACTTTTAAATCCACCCTCACCACGGGGTGAGGGTGGGTTTAAATGCGCTCTACAACAGTAGGTACTAACCTCTCCTTTGTAATTGTCAGGCGAGGCCATAGCCTCCGGGGCGCGGAAGGCAGGCGTCCCGACCGCGCCGGCCAGCTTCCCGGCGCCCGCCAGCTCGCCACACGCGCCCAGGTCCGCCACCTGCACGCGGCCCTCGCCCAGCAGCAGGTTCGCCGGCTTGATGTCTCTGTGCGCTATCCTCTGGTAGTGCACTGAAGGTTACAAAACAATTTGGCAATTTAAGTATCGTGATTGTATTTTCTTCAAAACGGATGTTAGAGAAAAATTTTGCTCACAGTACTCTACTCCCAAAAGCGCGTCTCTGAAGTACTTCCTGGACAATTCTTCCGAATGAGGGCTGTCGGTGGGGATGTCTATGACGGGCCCACCTTCTAGCAGTTGAAACACTAAATATAGGTGATCTTCTGCAGGATCGTCCAACACCTGCCAACAGAGTATCACATTTTTGGAAACACATTTATTATTTATTTATTTAAAAATATACATTGAGAGTTTACAATGTCACCCAAAGCACTCACAATGCTAGTCATAAGTATAAGTCAATACATAAAATAATAAACAATAAGACAGAAAGAAAATAAAACAATGAAATAATATTAATCAATAATGTTAAGTACTACACTCTATGATCATGGCAAGTAGTATTCAAAAAAATGATAAAATTATATATTAGTTTCGGTAACTTGTCGGTAAGCAGATCGGCATAACGGGTCTCGTCCAGGAGAGTATTGAGCAAGGCGTGGGGCAGTTGCGGGCGCGGTTCGTGCGAACACCGTCTGGGTACGCAAACAGTTAAAGTCGGCGTCAAATACAAGGGACAAACAAACGAACAGATTGAAGTACTACTGAGCTATCTATATCATTTCCAAAAATCTTACTGTAATGTATTAATTGATTTCGTTTTCGCCTAAACTCTAATGTGTCAGACCCCATGCCTAAAACGTATTTACTTAATTGTACTTAAATTGAGCTCTTCACATTTTAGACCAATTATTCCGCTACGATTTGTTTTCTAAATCACTAAAATCGAACATAATTACGGAAGACCAAAAAGCAATTGTGGCTCAGAAGATAAGTTCACTTATTTCTGACAGCGTCACCGACCGGCGTCGAGCCGAAAAGATTAGATGGGACGGCGTGATTAACAAAATTTTATTTGTCTCGTCGACAAGTTCGCGCTTCAGCGTGATTAAACGACCCCACGCCACAAATTGAAAGCGAGATTAAGACTTTAGATATGAAAACTGAGATAGAAGTTTTACTTAAGGTTTTGCATGCAGGCGTGATATTATTTTTGAACTTTGCTGCGTACGTTCAAACTTTTTTCATTACAGTAGGTGTTTTTTTTATTTTGGGGGAGCCTTCATTATGACGTCGCCATTTTTTTTGCGCTGAATTATTCATGACCACCTGAGGGGGAAACCATTACAAGTTTTAATTGAAGAAATCTGAGGTACCTCAACCAGTTTGACGACGTTAGGGTGGTCTAATTTTTTGAGCACGGCGATCTCTCTGTAGACTCTCTGCAAGGGATCGGGCGGCGGTCCAGGGCCAGGCCTTCTGGGCGGCGCCCGCCCGAAAAGGCCCGCTCTCCGCATCAACTTTCTCTTTGAGAGGATTTTCATCGCCTGTTACGAAAAATTCATTACGGAGTTTGTAAGGAAGTAATAAAAAAGTTGTAATTAAACAATCCACGTTGTAGTCTAATTATTGTAAATTGAAAATTAAATTTTTTAGGTTACGAGTATTACTTACATAATGTGTATCATCTTCTTCATTGTACGCTAACTTAACGATACCGTATGAACCCTGGAACGCAAACAAATCACCAACATTATTCTTTGCTTGTCATTTATCGTTAAGTGTTTGAGGAGCCACAAAGATCATTTGGACGTTGTTAAAAAGGATCCAATGCACATCCAGTCACTTTCGAGACACGACAGTTTGAAGTCGTACAGTGTTTCTCACTCTTGTTTTATTTTCAACACCTATAACGTCATGTAACTCCAGAGATATTTATTTATGTTTATGTGTTGGATTTTTTTTGCTGATCTAAGAGGTTAGATTTTGGGAACCGTTTCGTACATATAACTCATTATTCGATAATTTCGTAGAAGTGATGGTTATGACGTGTTTACCTGTCCGATGGGCTCCAGCAGCCGGTACTGGTTCAGCTGCACGTAGCCCGGCGCCTGTGCCAGGGAGACGCGGCGTGACTCGCGCGGCAGGCGGCGCGCGCGCGGCGACCCCGCTCCCGCTGTGCACTCCGCTGATTTCGCGGCATGCGAACGTAGTAGCGCTGATCTGTCTCCGCTCGCAAGTGAGTATGTGGACGGCCTAGAGATACCAATCACATTCATCCCGAACATACAATTCGCAGCGACAAATTTGTCGCAATTTTGACATCGCGTGATTAGCGTAATAACAGTCAATGACGTAACTTAAAAATAAATAAAATTGAAACATGTCACTCTGTGAATTTGAATGTTATATGGCCTCAAAGTCCGGGGTAAGACGAGACTTTTTCTAAAGTAGGTTACCATACTTACGATTAAGCATTTAGGCAGTCAAAACACGATATTTTAATCAAGTTCTTTATTAACTCAAATTATAAAATAATTTACGAAAATTATTTACGAAAGTTATTTTTCTTGTCTACAGTGAGCTGAGCACACAAGAAACAAAGGGCGTTTAACTACAATTTTACTACAATTTTCCTTCGATTTCTACAGATTCCAGCTAAGCTGCATTTTACAGTGTCACCATGTCCGTGTCCAAAATAAATAAAGTCTGTTGATTTTATTAAATAAGTATCGATATTCTCGGGAGTGAAAACACCAGTTGAGTCTTGAAAAGGTTTAAAAAATCGTCGAGACTCACGAAAGTTTCGACATCTATATTCCCGGAATGAAAGCGTTTGGATTATTATATTGCATAAAGCAAATGTATTCGTTTTCATGCGCCGTGGTCTGTGACTAAAGTTCGTATTAGAATTCTCTGAATCTTTTAGTGCCAAATGAACCGTGAGCTCCTCCGCCCTTTGCCCAATTGAGTGAAATTATCCAATCCAATGAATAACGAAGTTTGTCTTACAAAATACTCGGTTAGGTTAGGCTTTACCAAGAATATAATTTCCGGTAATACTCTTAAAGGCCGCAGCTCTATTTCTTGTCAACGAAAGGCTCGAGAGAAAATAAAATAGTAAATATTTTCTGTTACAAGGTGGCTCCATTTATTCGATAATGATTATTGTTTAGGCAGGTTAATTTGCGAGCTGTTCTAAATGCAAATTGTTTCGAAATTACACTTTAAACGAGGCTCCTATTAAGTTATCATGTCTTCGTGTAATAAATCATGGACTGGTGAATTGTCACTTAAAACCCTGTCACACGTGGCTTTTTTAAGCAAATAACACTAATGCTCGTATTCCAGAACTCTACTCAATGCTCAAGTCAGGATTTGAGCAGACTTGAGAATGATTCAAGCACTGGAAATACGACTCTAATGGCAAGGCCTTGAGTATGATTTTCAGTGCTCACTGCAATACTCAAGTCCTGACTTGAGTATTGAGTAGAGTTCTGGAATGCGACACTAGGTGTGGTTTACCTGGTACCATCGTTGCCTGGCCACCTTGTGTCCTCTCTTTTGGTGTCGCCTACCACGTCGACAGCAGAATGCCTGTAACAATTGAAACTTAACCTTATTAAAAAAGAAATGTGTGAGGTTAAATCCGTGTTCTGTGCTGTAAAATAAGCACAACTTTGTTTTTGAGGTAATGACGAGTTTAAATTTTGCTTAGACGGTCTTATAATTGGTATACTTTTAAGTAAAAGAATAAATATTTAGATACCTACTTAGGTATTTGCTTAGTACCTTTTAAACTTTAAAAATACAGTGAGTAACATTATTAAAAAAAACAATATTTTTTGCATGTGTTTCTGGAGGAAAAACTTTTACATCCTCTAAAACCCAACAAGTGCTAGAGACAGCGACAGCCGTTTGACATGAAAAGTGCTGACGGCCAGCGTTATGTATTCTATCAGTACCTAAGTAATACTTTTTACTAATACTAAGTTTTCTTTATCACAACTTAAAAATATCCAGATACAAATTACACGCACGATAATTTATCCGTCGTCAAACTTTAAGTACATTGGTTATGCAAGTTTCCAACATATGTTAATCTTGTAAGCCCTCTAGATCCCACAGTATGTCGGTACATCGATAGGTACAACTAATTTGCTAACAGTTTGATCCTCTTAAACCCTAATAATGCTCAATGCAAATCCATAAACCACTCCCGGTTTATGCACCAACAACAACTTATGTACACGATAAACAGACTTAAAAGTAAATAGAGCTTTTCAGCACTATATGACTCTTGTTTCCGGTTATAAAACTACGTTTTGTTATAGATAAGGTAGAATGGGATGATGTAGATATTTTATGTGCGACGAGCCAAATGTCGCTGATGAATTAGATTGGCGTAAAATCGGCGCGACGAAAATGAATTTTATTATACGAAGTACCGGCTTTTTTGTTAATATATTTTCAACAGAATATTTCCGTAAAATATAAATTATATTAATATTTACAATAAATTATGTGTAAATATTTCGTAACAGTACCTAAAGTTAAATAAAATGAAGAGTAACTAAACTAGTAAAAAGATTGTAAAACACATTGACTTACAAATAAATGGACGACGGGTCTAATACAAAAACCACGAAAAAAAATGTCCCAAGTCAACCTATTCGAAATTTAAATTGTAATGTCATCGCAGTATCGCGCTGTCAGTAGAACAAATGAAGACTAAAGCGGAGTGTCGCGCTCTGTATACGATTTTAGCGCCTTACAAGTGCGGACACTTTTTAGCGCGGACCCGACGTCCATATAATTGTAAGTCAATGGTAAAACATATATACTACCTCTATCTCACTACACGCACACTGGTTGTCAGCGTTTGACAACAGAATTAAACACGATCGTCAAATTTTTTATAAAAAATAAGGAGATTATACGTTCGGTTGTATGTACCTATGTTTTCAGATTTCTCCGTCAGTTGTAGACCAACTTTGAAAATTCTTTTTTTGTTTGAAAGGGTGCACTCTCGTAGTATTCCCATTGTCACCAAGTCAGAATCTGAAGAAGGGATTCATGGAAATCGAGGAAATCGTCTTATTATATACTATTTTACCTACCGATTTCTTCATCCGATTTTCAAAATTCTTTTTTGTGTGAAGTTGTTTTCTAACATATAAGAATTTTCAAAATCGGTCCGCTCTCGAGATGGTCCCTGATGCCGACGATGCGGTTCCGGGTCCGTTTCGGCTATCACAAATTAAAAAAAATATTTTTCGCAAGTAAAAGTCGACTTTTCACTTGACACAATTCATGCAATCTACAAATCACCGTCACCAAGACGACCAGAAAAAAAGTGTAAAATGTACAAAGAGTCCGTAATAGTCCCATTGTCACCAAGAAGTCAGAATCTGATGAGGGGATCCCATGGAAACCAACAAAAGCCGTTAGGCAAACTTTTGAGGGAGGTCTTTTTTTCGATGAAATAGTTACAATTATGTTATGTATGTATGTATTTTTTATTTATAGTATATATGTTTTTCTGTGGGTCTGGAACCTAGTTTTTTTAAATTATATTGTTTGAAATAATTCATCATTACTTAAAAAAAGCGATGCACTTAATGTTTATGTACATGTTCATCAACATACGACAAATTTTTGTTCCGTACATATCTAAAGTCAAAGCTTAAAATTTTAATCCTTGTTTGTATAAGAATATATCTTATAGAAACATGATGTTTTAATTCTTGATTCTACCTTAAACTTAATGTAATTTAACATAGTTCTTAATGATTTCAATAATCAATAACAATTTTCTGTTAATAAAAGTAAATAGAAGTGTGATTAGTGTGTAAATTTATTTTATGCGACTTATACACAATGCGATTAGCGTTATGTTTATTCAAGTAGTTGTCTGAATAATTAATACAGACCACATATCAGTAAATGTAATTTTTCTCCACGACCATGTCAACGACATTTTTCGTGTTAAAATGCGAATTTTTATAATTACTAATTACTACTGTTAATTAAATCATAAAGTTGTAAAAAGGTAAAGGAAAACTTCAAATTCGTTTAAACATTTTGATTGATTTAAGTAGAGCATATACTCAGCTAATTTCCTAGTACTATTTCCTGCATCGCTCTATTTACAAATCGTGAGAAATTTCATGTCAGTATTTCAAGTTTAGTGTTCCATCAGTTTCCTGGATAAAGTGATCTTATCTTTGAAAAAGACGTCTAGGTACCGTTATCTGGAAGGGGGTAAGTTCCGCTATAAGTAGTGCAACTAAAGTTCAATATTATGTGAATGTGGTATAAAAATATTACCTGCTTATTATCGTTCAGCGCATACCAAGCAAAAGCGGGTTAATTTTAGCCCTTTAGAGGCACTGAGACGGAACGACCCACGGCCTGGCAGTCTATTCAATGAATAAACACCGCCGCCGCCGGCGCCAGTGCGTTAGGGTTGAGATAAACAAATTTTAATAATTCACAGACGTTTACTAGGTATTTCCTAAGAGAAATAACGATGACGATAGTAGAGCGGTTACTTCTCAACTTAGAGATCCATGCTTCGAATCCCTATGGCCGCATGTAGCAATGATTTTACTTAATATGACAATATTGAGGAATGATGATGTGTTGAAAGGTCCTAATCGTAACTTTTTCTTCAAAACGATGCCCTATCCTGGTCTTTTCTATATTCTTGTAAGCAGATGGGATTGGTTGACAACACGTGTTTACAGTTCATTGAATAAATGTTACAATTTAGTGAAGTCAATAAAACGATATACGTAGGTTTGGTGTAAAAGACACACGCTTTCCAGTTCTCGTTTCATCGTCTGCTTTGAAATGATGACAGTCAATAACCCTAAATCTTGTATCACCTTTCCGAGAGCGCTAAGCTATTGTTAACTAATTTTTCCGCGTAAAGGTTCGGCGATCGTAAATGCCTAAGGCGGGGATCGAAAGGTCCCAGTCCGTCACAGTGTTATACTGCTGTGTGTACTTTGATCCATTATAAGGCTGTCTCATTTCCTTAACGCACACCTTTGTGGTTTTTTATTATTTTTAAGGCTTACAGACTGCTTACTTGGTAGACTGAGGCTCTTCTCGTCTGCACATTTACAATACGATGGAAGATAAATTAATTGAGCTTGTATAAAGGGACTGATGCGAGTGGAGGAGGCGAACAGGTTTGTTTGTAAGGAGAAGCGAGTGGACATTCAAGATCTCTACCTAGTCCAGTGGAAGATAGGCTTGATCGTATATATTATATATAACGGAACATGTTCAATAGGGGTTTTCGGCGGTTCGTAATTTTGCGAGTCAGACATAGCGGATTTCCGAAATAATAACACTTGCAAACAGTATAACAATGTATTGTGTGATTACAATTAATTTAACACAATTATCTTCTTAGATTAACTCGATATCGAAAGATCTAAACTGCAAACGCGGCAAGTTCGACACAGAATGGCACACCTCCACGCTCGTTTTTCCAACGTCAAAAAAGGTTCCTCTCCCCGCCACCACGTGGCGTGCTTGGACTTCTTTTCATCCAAGCCAACTCTGTATTGACCTTACCCAAGCCTACTGCTTGGCGTTTACAATCGATAAATCTAGATATTTTTTTATATTTTATATAATACCAAGTGACGGGACGAACAAGTCGTGAGCCTGGTGGTAAGCTACACGCATGCCCATAACAGTTGCAGTGCCACCAAGAGCTTTAAATTACAAAGATCTTGGGGGCACTGCCTCTGCGCCCGTCACCCTGAGACATAAGTTGACAAGTCTCATGTGCCTGTAATTTCACCAGCACCCTTACCCTTCACAACCGGAACACAGTAATGTGACCATTACTGCTTGGCGGTAGAAATAGGTAAGGTGGCAGTACTTCCCTAGACGAACCTTGTAATGTAACCTTGATGGCGTTGTAATTAAATTAAATTAAAATAATTAAGTCAAAAATCACATATGGTGTCGCTGCGGTGACAGCACTCCGACATATATATATTTTATTAAAAAGCTTATGGAAGAAGAAGTCGAAAGTCAGCAACGAAAATAACTGAGAATAAGTTACTATAACCAACTTTAAGGAGAAGTGATTACCACATCGTAGTAAGACGTCGAAGAAAACGCCTTGCTGACGACATAATGGCGTTTATCAGATCGATAAGAGCTTAGGGCTTAAATCTAAAAAAAAGTTGATTTAAAAAAGTTCCATATAATAATTCTGGGAAGCTGTATTTTTTGTTCGGAAATGCACTTGATACCAGTTTGAAAACGTTTTTTAAAGTCAGTAATATGTTACATCCATTGTTTCTACTGTAATACAGGGCACTGGGGTAGTGCATAGAGCACACTTGACCTCATTGCTCAGCGGGTCCTGTTAACAGCTGCGCCTTGGACAAATGGCCGCGGCCACAGCCATCGCCCGGTCTCGGCGTAAATGGCCTACACTATAAGGGATAAGTGAGGATTAACTTACATTGAGAAGGTGTTGAGGAAGTACTTCACCTTGAGTGACTTAACGTGTTACGTGGTTACGAGCAGGCACTTTGACAAGGAAATCTACTGCAGCTGTTCAA